AACTGAATTTGTAGAATTTAATTTAAAATTTTTAATTATTTCAAATTTTTCTTGATTTTTTTGAAAGCTTTTTTGGCAACTTGCATTGAGACCTTCAAATAACTTTTTTTTTGTTTTTGAATAAATCACTCAATTTGAACAAAATTTTATTAAATTATTCAGAAGTCAGAAATTAAAAAAAAAATTTAAAAAGCAGGATGAAAATCAATCGTTCTCACTTTCGATAGAAAAATTTTACTTTTCATAATTTTGACATTTTAAAAATTTTACAGTAGATTCTGTTATTTTCTGTCAGATCAAATTCTCATATCAGATTAAGATTTAATTATGCATTTTATCGTATTCTGTAAATATAGTAAACCGATTATTTTATTTTGTTCTATTCATCAGCTGGGATGGGAACCCTTACAGATATTTAATTAAAAAATATCAGGGCTCAGTTAGACATGCAATTTTTAATTTTGTAACTGTTTAATGATTGCTAATTTGTATTTTATAGGTTTATACTCAAGTGGGCGCAAATTCAATTGTATGTCATCTCATGCAATTATGTAATCAAATATTTTACAAACTAATTGCAATTTTTACTTAACGTACTAAATTTAAATTGACGCAAATACTTTAGTTATGTAAATGTGATCGCAACGATTTTACAATCAAGCAGTTATTTGCAAAACTGAAAATTCCATGTCTACCTAATACTTTAACTAAAATTTATAAAATATGATTTTGTTATACGATATAAAATTAAAATATAATATATAATATGTGGACAATAAAATTATAATACTTATACAAATAAATATAAAATTATATTATGTACATACTCGTAATACCAAGGTTTATTATTAGACTTGATAAAACGATATTTAATAAGAATATTCCATATGTATATTAATAATATCAATTGTATAACAATATTTGCTGTATAACAATATTAACTGTATAACAACATTAACTGTATAACAATACCAACTATATAACAATACCAATTATAAAACTGTTATTTGATTTAGTTTTAAATTTTCATCAAAAATTTTCTTTTTAATGATCCCAATCAATCCGTTTCTCTGCAATCTTCAAATAATTCCAATCAAAAATGCTATAGATTTTGATTAATAAAACAAATATGAATTGAAATATATTATAATTAAAATAAAATCATCTTTCATCTAGAGAATGTGTTGATCTTCAGATAATTTCTCTTTTTGTTTCTACGTTTTCTGAGTGATAAGGCGCAGGCGGCAAAATGATTTTTGCTTGAATTTGTTTTCTTTTTTTTTTAATTTTTTTTTATTTTATTTTAATTGCGATGTATTTTGATTTCATAAAAATATTATAAGTGTAAATAAAAAATGTATGTATTTATGTACATGCAAGAGATTTTAATTCAAAAAAAAAATATTCATTTTAAATGCGAATAATTACAGATTCGTAATTTATTTTCTATTTTATAAAATCAACCAACCACCTGATGAATATGAATAAAAAAAAAAAAACAGAAAACAAAAATATTTTTCTGAGTGTTTTTTAAATTACAAAAATTTTCCCGTGTAAATTAAGTGCGTACCATAAAAGCCATAATATTTATTGTAATTAACATTTTAGTATGTACTGTTGAGTGTGCATACAATTAAATTATTTCTATATTTATTTTATATAAGATGGTTATTTTTTTGTTCTATTCTATTACTATTGTAAAAATCTATTGGTTTCATTTGAACAAATCGTAATTTATTTAACATTTACGTGCATCTAAGTATACAAATTAAATATGTATATTTTTGTATAGCATTTAAAAAGTTAAAACGATTATGCGCTACATAAAATAAATGTATGAAAATAAGAAAAAAAAATGAAAGAAAATTTTATCCTTAAAAAAGGATATTTTGAATATAAAAATATTTATTTCAATTTTATATAACTAAGTATTAGTTAAAATAAAAATTAATAAAATTTAAATAGAAGAAGAGAAAAAATGAGGAATTGGCAAGAATAACATTAGTTTTTTTCTATATATACATATAAATATGTATGTACATACATAGAAATTATATTACAGCCTTCTATACAGCTGTATGTATGCATGTATGTATGTATGTATGAGCAAAAAATGATTTTGCGATGCAGAATTTTAAATGATAGGAAAAATTCGTCGTCTTAACTAAAACTATAACAATAATTTCTAAAATATTGGCCAAAACAAATTTTAATATTTTAATGAATCATAATTATTGAATTAAATATTTACATATATATATATATGTATGTGTGTAAATTTCTTGCATAATTTCATATATATTATATTCTATAAACTTAAAAGTTCTATTAAATTCATTCTTATGTTGACTATTTTTTTTTTACTTAATTAATGCCTTTCTCCAATATTATAAATGTATATGTATAATAAGTTCTACTTGTTGCAAATTTTTCTTTTAAATTAAATAACATAATATTATAAAGGGAAAAAAAAATCTAACCTTTCAAAATAGAATTTAGACATTAATTTTTGAAGTTCTTAAAGATTATTGCGAGTTTGAGGTTTTGCAATTACTTCTACGAGTATTAACTAAAAATAAATTATAAGTTGATATTGAACGCATTAAATTGAATACGAGAGTAAGATAAAGAATGCGTCCATCTGTGATCTTCTTTAATTGTACACAATATTCTGTTCTGTTAATCTTACCATTAAACCGATAATATCGTAATTATATTACGAATTTTCTTTTTTTTCAATTATTCTCACAAACTTAGTTAATTTTTTTGCAATATTAATATTAAAATAAAATGTATTTCTAAATGTATTTCTAATTTGTTGTTTATTTCTTGTCTTATTCAAATTCATATAAATAATAAAGACAATATTGTCAAAAACATGAAAGCAAAGATTAGCATCCTCATAAGAAAGCAACATAAATCGTAATATTTGTTTGATATACATAAATATGTGTATGCATTTGTAAATTTTTCTTCTCACTTCAACATTGGGGTTAATATCCCTTTTTAATTTTTATTTTTTTTTTCAAAAAAAAAAAAAATGCCTCTTAATTTTTCTCATAGATGTCACCATTATCAGTAGATATTATTCATTAATTGCATATAATAATTACTATTCTTTTTTTTTTCGTATAATAATATTCATAAATAATAATTTTTATAATGCACACACAAGTTTATCATTTACAAAAACAAAAATAAAAAAAAAAATTAAAAAAAAAAATTGTTTTATGTCACTGGTAATGAAAATAATATTTATATATGTTTGATGTATTACAATCATGTTATATTTTGTTATACAAGACTATTCTTTTATATTGTGATATACTCGTGTATACTGGCAGCGCACATTTTTATTAATATTTTATTTGTAATTGCTATTGCTATTATAATTTATATTAAATAAATGTTACTATACTTGCCGCTACTATTGTAGCCGCTGTCACTATTGCTGTTGCTGTCGCTACTATTGTTGTTGCTCTTGTTATTTTTGCTATGCCAGTACAAAAAGTGAGGGGTGATAAAATTATGATTTTTTGTCTCTTTTTTCTTTGTTATTTTTTTTTTCTTCTTATTTCCTTTTTGTTGTTGATGATTTCTTTTCGGTTTTTTTTTCTGTTGTGTTTTTTATGTTCCTGCCATAACACTTTTCTTTACTTCTTCAATTTTCTTTTAATCATACCTACATTCAAAACTGTACACTCCACCATATTTTTTTTTTTCTCTTACATTCTGTAAAACTAACTCCTTTTTTTTATGTTATTTTTATTATTATTGTTTTTTTTTATATATACATTTATACACAAATGTACATATATATATGTGTGCATTTTCTCATAATATGAATAAGAAGAAAAAAAAGAAAAAACTTCTATCTCTCTATACTCGTCAGATGAAATTCTTATTTGTATGGATCGGAGTTTTTTTTTGTGTAGAGAAGAATACAGAGACGAAAATGTAAAATGGTTTTTTTTATATATATATATTTTTTTTTATCTTTTGTTTCCTTTGCAGTCGATATCCTTTAGAAATAAAATCATACGTTTAATTTTTTTAAATGGAAAATAACTTTCTAGTTTCTTTCGAATTTTAATAAAATTAAATATAAAAATAAGATTATAAAATTTATTTTAATCTTATATTTAATAAAAATAATCCCGAAAATATGTAAAAATTGTAATCAATAGTGAAAAAATATTAAGTTAAAAAAGAAATCTTCTTGTCTTCTTTGAGAACATTGTGGTGATGATGTGAAATTTCAATAATAAAAGTAAGAAAATTATAAAAACAAAAATTCGCTTTTTATTATACTACACAAAAAAAAAAAATTCTATAATATATAAAAGTATAAAAAAAATAAAAATAAGAAAAAAATATTAGAAAAAAGAGAAAAATACTCGTAAGGGTGTGTCGCTAAGGATTTCTTAAGTCTTGTCGCTGCTATAATAAATTTTCCGACTAATTTCAAATATAGTTTTTCGTATTTATATTTTAAATTGTGCAATTTAATAATATTAATTATAATTACTTATAATATTCGAAACCCATGAAAATTATGGGTACTTTATTTGAATATACGAAGTTTCTGTTGGTTTTCCAAATATTATTGTTTTTTATTTTTTCTTCAACATCCCCAATTCTTTAATAATTAATTTTCAGATGAAATTTTTTTAGTTTTTATTATTTTAATTTAAATTTTAAAATTGCAAATCAATTCTTTAAAACTATTTAAATTTTGTAATTTAAAATGTTATACAATATTTTTAGTATTACAATATTATATAGCTAAATATTTAAATCTATTAGAAATATAACAAATATGCTTATATATAATAATACGTTTGTAAGTGTGTGTATAAAAAAAAATATATTAAATAATAGAATATTTTTCATTGTAAGGTACATTGACATTTTTTCTATTTATTTTGATTTTTTATTTCTCTTTTTAATTTTAAATTTTTAAGTAATTTTTGATTTTTTTTTTTTGTTTGTATTTACAGATCCAACAGTTAGGGCCAGTTTTGTTGAACAAATTCCACATATATTTCTACAATGTCACGAGCACGCTTGTCCAGATCTCGAACATTATTTGTACGACCGCCTGTTGCAAATTGTACTAGATTATTTACAGGATGCGGAGGACAAAGTAAATTTTCATTTTTGTTTTTTGTTTTATTATTGTTATTTTCTTTTTTTTGTTATATTTTTAATTTACTATTTATTTTTTGTGTGTTGATTATATTATTTTTTCTTTTCTTCTATTCTTAAGTTTTCTTTCTCTTTTGTTTTTCAATAAAAAAAAAAAATTTTAATTTCAAAATTTTATTTTAAATATTTAAATTAAAATTAATTTTTTTTTTTCCATTATAGGTAAGCAGGGATGCTTATTCAGCTCTTCAAATTCTTATAGATAAATATGTTTTAGATAAAAAACGTATTGAGGAAAAAGTTTGTGCAGCAATTATGTGTCCAATTCACAAAATACATTATGAAAATTTAAAAGATTTTAATATTAATTCGGTTACGGTGAGTTACAAAAAAAAAAAAAAAATAGCAGTATTATTATTCAAAATAAAAATAAATTTTGAATTGATTTTAAAAAAAAAAATAAGCAGCCCTCTAGTAAGAATTACATTAACTAAAGGAATAAAATTATCATTTATAAAATCGATTTGACGAAAATATTTCGATTATAAGAAAATAAAATTGATCATGAATCGATTTTTAAAATTGTCAAAATTTTGTTTTTTTTTGTTGAATTGCCAAATTATTTTACTTTAATTTTTGAATAATGTGATATTCGATTTTATTTATTTATTTTTTCTTTCTTTCAAAAATATCTTTCAAATAATTAAACTTTTTCTTATTAAGAATTTGAAATAATTTAAGGTATTTTTACGAAAAGAACACTTTTATTAATATGAAAATTGTCAGCACAAAATTTTTCAAATTTTAAATTGACACTTGGCTTTTCAAAATATAAATACATATATGCATGTATTTAAAAGAAAATTTATTTTTGATATAAACTATACAGGTTTTCATGTTATTGGATTGATATTAATTAATTTGTAAGTGATTAAAATTCCAAAATAAAATCTATACATACCTGCTAGAGGACTGGTTAGCTTGATTATACATACATAAATTTTATTCGAGTTTATTAAATCAATGGAATTGTTTTCGCATCAAACTTGGTTGTTTTAGGTTATATTTAAAAAAAAACTATCACAGCCAGCTTTGATGAGCAAAACTTTTTCAGTTATTCAACTAATTTGTTTGTTTATTGTAATATTACAAATATTAGTGTTTTTATTATATTATTTTATTATATTGTATTTAATATGAATTAAAAGTGTTTTAGATAAAATAAGAAAAAATTAAAATTTTTTACATAGCTCACAAATTGGTTGTGAAATGTTTAATATTTAAATTCATATCACAGCCATTTTGATGAGCTTTGTGAAAGATTATTGCCAACAATGATTGCTAATTTGTGAGTACCTCAATTAATTGTTATTTAACAAATATAGTTTAAGTATTACAAAAATTGTGATTGGTATATTTATTTATTTATTAGAACAATATTTTTATTCAAAATAAAACATTCAAATTGATTATTTTGTATTTAAAAATTTTCAGTACTATTATAATTACTTAGAAATAGTGTTTATTTCGTTTATTTTTCTTCTACTAAATCGTAAAAATGGTTGTGCCGTGTGTATTTTAAAAATTTCATATCACAGCCATTTTGACGAGTTTAGTTTAAGAGATAAATCATCAGTGATTGTTTGTGTTTTATAAGTTCAATAATTAATTATTTAATTAATTTATATTATATTTTTAACAGATTAACCATTTAAATTTATTTCACAGGGAAATTTTTTGTATTTATATGGTATTTGTGTTGCCTCTCAAAGTGGCTGTGAAATGTTAAATTAAAATATCATATCACAGCCAGCTTTGAGGAGCGATACGGATATTTTTTTTGCATCGTTTTCTATTTTTTATTTATAATTTTTACATTTTCAGTTTTTTGTTTTTTTTATATATAAATCCTTTACTTAACTCTCAAAGTGACTGTGAAATGTTAAATTTTATTTTCATATCACAGCCAGCTTTGATGAGCTCAGAAAAGGCATGCTATTGCTTCAAATTAAAAATGTGTTTTTCTTTTATTTTTTAATAACTTTAGTGTATATATTAAATTTTATATTTTTAATTTCATAAATATTGAAAATACATAAATAGATATAAAAATATATTTTTATTTATTTTAAAAACTCATTTATAGTAAATATTATAATATAATAAATAATTTTAGTTAATGGGTAGAATAGCACCAATAATTGGATCAGAAAAATCTGAAGAACTTTTCTTAAATCATTTTATTGAATTATGTAAATGTAAAATAAATAGTATTCGTAAAAAGTGTGCTGCCATATTTCCAACATTTTGTTATGTTTTAGGAACAAAAATAACAGAAGATAAATTGGTAATTTTCAAAATTTAATTAAATTTAAATTAGAATCAAAAAAATATTTATTTATTATTAATAATAATATATAATTTTTTCAGCTGGAATTATTTTTTCAACTGTGTACAGATCCTTTTTGGGGTGTTAGAAAATCATGTGCCGAATCAGTACCTTTAATTTCATTAATATGTAGTCCAGAATGTAGAAGAAATAGGATAGCGCCGATTGTATTAAGATTAGCCAAAGACAATAATACATGGGTAACATCGGCAACATTGAAAATATTAGGACAATTTATATCCTCATTTGCTCAACCATGTATAACAGGATTGGCATATTCATATAATGGAGAATTATTAATTACAAATCCAGTTGATCCAGATTTTCGGTATGTTAAATAAAATAATATTATTTTTCTTTTATGTTTTTATTTAATTATATTCTGTAATACATACTTATATATACATATATATTTTTTTTTATGTAGAGATATTTCTGATCCACAAACATTAGCTAATTATGAGCATTATTTAAAAATGTTTTCAAATATTGAAGTATTAGATACTACAAATACAGCAACCGGAATTAGTAAAAATTCAAATAGTGCGAAAAATGGCACATCAAATCAAGTAACTAACATTTGTGATGAAAATTTAACACCTAAAAATATTGCCCAAATAATAATTGAAAATAAAATTAAGCTAACTGAACAAATAACGGAATATGCATGGCCTAAACAAAAATTTTTTAAGAATTATGTATTTAATGAATGTTCAAAATACATAGATTTAGATACTGGGAACAATAATGTGACTGACAATACGGATAAAAATAATATTGATCGAGGAAATAATGAAGAAAATAATGAAAATTTATGCTTATCAAAAATATTAGATAATAAATCAAATATTGAAAGTTCAAATGAAACTGGTGGCTTCGGTGGTAGTGGTAATGAAAATAACGACCGTCAAATGTCATCATCATTACCATCAGAAACACTAACAATAAAAGACAATACAGTAGGAAAGGAACAAAATACATCTTCTAATCAGCAAATGGAGCAACAATCAGAACAACAACAGGAGCAGCAAACATTTTTGCCGGATAATTCAAATAAAAATTCAGAGGACAATAATGTTTATGATAACATTATTGATAATATTATTTTTGTTTCAGAAAATTCCTCTTTAGAAAATAATTTACATCGTCGTCGCTGTCGTCGTAATGCTTATAGTTTTTGGCGTAAGAATACCCCATCCGATTTGCAATCAATAATTAAGAAAGCTATGCATGATGCCCAAGATAACATTAAACCACCCTTACCACCACCTCCGCCACATCCTTTGAAATTACCTGCGAAATCTCCATCAATTACAACGATAGGACCTTCTAGTACAACAAATACAAAACAAGATCAATTAGAGGATCAAGCAACAACAATAGGGCCTTCTAGTACAACAAATACAAAACCAGATCAATTAGAGGACCAAGCAAAAGATATGTTAACACCAAAAATAGTATCAGATCAATCGTTAATTGAAAATTCAAAACAAGGATTTGAGAGTAGTGAAAAACAGGAAAATCAAGACCAACAATCATATTTATCGTTTGAAGTTCTATTATCAAGAATGAAGTCTTTTATTACTTATACTGAGGAAAAAAATAAAAATTCAAATGTTTACAATTCAAATGATGATTCTGTTATGTTCGCATGTGATGATGGCTTTTCGCCATTTTTCGTCACTTCTGATTCCGGTTTTAAGAACAGAACTACAACTTTGGCTAACTTAAACGATAAAAAAGACAAAAATGGTAACGAAGAAGACGAAGCATTCAATGAATTTAATTCTTACAAATTTTGGCACATAAGCCCAGAAATGCCTTTAGATTCAAACATTGTAGGTAATGTTGGAACGTGGAATACAAAAATATTAAATGAAACATTACCAATAACTAATTCATCTATACTAGATGATGATGATATAGTTAGGAAAACACCTAAGTTTTCACCGCCAATAACATTTGAACAAAATGTTGTTCCGCCCGGTATACTTGAAGCTTATGTTACTATGGTTTTATATGAAGAAGAAGATGAAATTAAATTAACTTGCGCATATAATTTTCCAGCTGTTGTATTAACTTTAGGCAGAAGGTATAATTTCTTAATATTTATATTATATAATTAAAATATATTGATTCTTAATTACAGCAATTGGCATATTCTCAAGACTCTTTTGCAATATTTATGTGATGACATTGACTGGAAAGTACGTAAAACAATAGCATTATCTATAAACTTCTTAGCGCTAATATTAGGTAAAGAAATTGCAACACGTGACTTGGTACCTATATATTTAGGATTCTTTAAGGATTTGGATGAAGTTAAGATTGAAGCTATACGAAATTTCGCAAGCTTTTTAAAGGTATTATAATTTTTGTAGTTGTTTAAAAGTATTAGTTAATTAATTTGAAAACAATACTTTAAGGTAATTGATAAATCAAAACGTGAAGAGATATTATCCAATATTGGAATTTGTTTGCGATGCGATAGTAGAACAAATTGGCGTATAAAAGAAGATTTAGCTAAAGAAGTATGTCATGTTATAAAAATGTATGATTCAATAGAGAATTGCGACATTTTATTGAATTTAAGCAGCTTAACTGGTTATTTTTTAGAGGATAAAGTTAGTTGTGTGCGAGAAATTGCTGCAGATGCCGTAGGTTTTTAATTTTATATATTAAAAACAATTAAAATAACAAAATTGTATTCAAATTTCAGATGGCTGAAATCATTCGAATTTCTGATTCTAAATTCAAAGAAGCAGTTGTTAAACACTTTTTGGTTGATGAATTTGCAAATAGCAGTAAATGGAGGAATAGACAAACTTTTTTGAACGTTTTATATAAGGTATTTGTTAAAAGAATATGAGAAAAGTTCAAACAGATTATAAAATTAAAATAAATCATTTCAGTACAATATGATGAAAATGATTCCAATACTAAGTTCAAAAAATATTTCAACAAAAGTATTGACGAAAACATCAGAAACACCATTATCAAAATCTTCTTCTACAGGATCTGCATCAAATGAATCGTCACCGATAGATTGTCTTAAAGATGTGAACGAGATATTGCATTTAGTATTTCCTAGTATTGAAAAATTATCAGTTGATTTTGTACCAAACATTAGATTACTTGTCGCCAAATATTTAGTTTTATTGATAAACGTAAATGGTAAATATATTATAATGTTTCATACTTTTTATGCAACCCACTATATTCCACTATTTATTATTTACAATATATGTAATTAATTTCGAAAATTTATTAATTTATTTACAGCAATTAGTGAAGATTTATATGAGCGGTTTTTAAAAATCATCCGTCGATTGCGTATTGATGAAGATTGTGATGTTAGGGAAACATTTGAATCAGTAGACCTATTAAAAGACGAAATAGAAGATCAACAAAATCTAGACCAACAAAGTCGCCAGTCAGAGGAATTAAATAAAACTACTGCTACGGGAACAACTGAGACAGCAGCACCAGCAACTTATTCCGAGATATTAAAATCAAATTTGGATAATTTTGGTATAACAGAAAATCGCAATATTGAAAAAACCCAGGAAAATAAAGAAGAAAATATTTCAAAATTAAATACTGAGTCAGAATCAATCACAGAAAAAACAGAAACTTCTAGTGATCAACAACAAGGAAAAGCGGAAATTCCCGATCTTACACCGCTATTGAAATTTGTGGCGAATCTTCTTGGTGATGAAACTTCAGAAGGACAAGAACCAAAATCACAACCCCAATCGGTGGAATCCAATAATGAGACTGATGAAATTGTTAAATTGCCTGATGCTATTGTATCACAATCACAAATATAAATTTAATAAATTTTTGTTAGAAACAAATTACATCTATAAGTATATAATATATAAATATTTAATATATTTATATATACATATAGATTATCTTTTTTTTATACTTTTTATTAAAGCCATTGAATTGTTAGGAAACAAAATTTTATTGTTTTTTTTATTTTAAATGAGAGTTGCAAATAAACGAAAATTAATAAAACAAAATAAATTTTAAAAATATGTAGATTATTATAAAAATTTAAAGAAAATTTTAAATCAAATATATGAAAATCAATTTTTAATAATAACAATGTTTAATTTGGAATCCAAATTGGTTTAAATTAAAAAGAATAAAAAAAAAAACAATTAATAGTTAGAAGAATGAAAAGATTGTCCTCTCTTGAAGAGTAGTTCAACTGTTTTAGAAAAGAAGTTGTTAATTAAACTCAATTATTTAAAAATAAAAGGTAAATTTTATATTAATATTATATTATTACATTGTATTGTTAGATAATAAATAAAACCACTTTGTACATTTTTGATGAGATACTTTCAAAACAAAAATCTTTAAATTGTTTTATTTGACGCAAAAATATTTTGCTGACCCATTTTAATATTATGCATACATTGCTTTAATCGCTCACCGACTAACATTACTGGTAAGGTAAATATGTTGTAATCTAAATTTATATGAGAGCCTTTACATTCACATGATGAAAATACCTTAAAACCTTTACAACTTTAAATCTTCCATTTTTTTTTGCGAATATTAGTCAAATAAGAGGTATGAGTTTTTTTGACTTGGTTTTTAGTGGGTAATTCAGACATATTTTAATTTATATTGTCTGAAGTTCTGAATAAACTCTTGCAAATATTTTTTTGTAAATGTAATTAAAGATTTGGAAAACTAAATCTAATTTTGAAAAATGTAATTTATATTTCGAGTTTTTTAAACGACAAAAACAGAGATTATTTTGGTAAAGTGAATCACGATCTCTACGCAGGGAATTTTTCAATTGCAGAAACAATTGCGGAAAAGTAATAGTCAATTGTAAAGATTATAAACACTTCTTAACAATTGTAATTACCTGGCAGAATTCAAGTAGTAATTACCTGAAAGTTTTATCTTTTTGACAACTAACCCCTTATATAATCTTTTCCAAATTAAAATATTTTTTTGTAGCACATTTTTTTACAAGTTTGTAATTTTGCAAATCATGATCGGTGACTCATAAAATGCTCTACTTTAAGTCATCAAAAATTATGCTTTAAAACTTAAAATAATTTTTTCAATCAAATGTTTATAATCTATTTTGTTTTCACTCGGGAGTTATTCTGCTATAAACTCAAGTTTAAAAACAATATTAACGGAATATATTAATATTTATATTTTATAAATATGTACATACATATTACATATATATACATTAATATAACAACTTTTCAAAAACTCGTTTTGAACTTTTGGCCATTTTCTGTTTGGGTTTATAAAGTCTGCAAACGGCAAACTTTAAAATAAACATTTTTTACAATTGCTCGAGTAGCACTTTAAAAAGTTTGTTACTTTGAGTTCTTACCTCTATTGAAACAGATGTTATAGAAGGTTTCAGAATATCTTTAACTTACTTTTGTAGTTAGCAACTACTTCTTCAAGTTGCATATGTACAACGAATTTGCTTACTGTAAGAAACACATCCAAAACAAATATACATAATATGTAATTTCATACCATAATATGGAAATCAACATGCATGAACAAGTTAATCTTTTACTTTTATAGTGTGACAGTCTGTGTATAAAAAAATGCTAAAAAGGCGAACATCACATGTCGAAATACATAAGAGGAGCTTTGATTTGCAGGTATTTAGTCTAGTTTTCGATCATCGATCTAAAGCTAGGAAATTTTCGATAATACAGATATGCACTTAAAAATCTAACTTAGATCTTAAAAATCGTTCTTCATCTCATTACTTATCTATAGGAACTAATTATGTATGTACTAGTTGGCTTTTTCAGATTTTTGATATCGTACAATTTTCTAAGCCACTTTTTTTCAAATTATAAAAGAAAATTGTTAAAATAAATACATATTTAAAGTATTTAAAAACAAGATTTTTTAGTTTTAATTTATTGTACATGCTTTATATTAAAATCTAAGTTAAAACAGAATTTTCGAAAATATCCCTAATTTCTGGATAACTTTTGAATTTTTCATTTAAATTAGATTTTCCCTCCTAGCGTAGAAATCTAGACGGCGTTAAATAGACTACCTCAATTACGTGCATCTATACTATTCTTATAAAATATCTCTTAAGGAAATAAAGTGTAATAAAAAACAAATCACTCAGCTTATTTCAGATGAACCAATGAACTACCAATCAACCCACCTGTAATAGACCTTAAAAAAAATGTAAAAGTATGTCAAATAGATTAGATACATGAAAATATATAAGCCCAAACTAGAATCGAACTGTAGTTGCATGAATTTGGAATACAATACGCAGCAATAGAGCTACTTAAAATATTTATTTTGTCTTTTCTCTTTTTCTTTTTTAATTTTAGGTAGCAGTAACGAGAAAGAAAAATCGTTCGGTAATTTTATTTGAATATAGGCAATTGCTATCGAGTTCAATGGTTCAATATGAACAAAACGTAATGAAAAATAGATAGAAGAAAACTAAAATATTGAATTATGCTTGTATTGAAAGAAATAATCTAAAATATAAAAAGAAGAAAAATTTTGGAATACACATTTTTGTTTTAAAAAGTCGTTTTGGTCAAGGAAACCGTTCTTATTAAATTTTCTTGTATCCCAAATAGATATTGTAAATTTAAATTTAAATTTCAATATTTTTGATTTTATCAGTCTCAAACTAACACCATTAAATCAACGTGTTCAATTTGATTCAACTAGTGCTTAATCTAAAATCAATATTATTGAGAAAATTGAATAAAAGAAAAAAAAATCTAAGTTACTAAGAACCTTACTTTAAATTTAATATTAATATTTTGTCACCTTTTCACAACATTTATTTGTTACATTATATGTATGTATCACATGTTAATACATACTTAGAAAAACATGATATCTTTTTGAATTAAATTTTTAGTCTTGTCGCTTTTCATTAAATTCTTCCTTAAAATAAAATTTAAAATCGATATTGTTTCTATCTATTTTATTTAATAATTAAAAATTAAAGGAAATAATAAATATTATACTGCATTAAAGTAACAAAAAAAAAAAAAGGAGAAACAATTTTTAATATTTTTCATTTGATAAAATCTTCTCTTTGTATCAAGAGTATAGGCTACAATAAGTGAATAGAATTTCGGAAACAATTGTTTTGATTTTCTTTTTATTAGTTTATTCAAATTCTTTTATAGTGCTAATGTCGATTAACAAACAAAATTTCTTTGTTAATGCAGATTTTTAAAAATTTGATATTTTTTCTCATCATTCTTTGTTTTTTCTTTGAAAAGTACTTTTCCATTTTCTTTTTTTTTTTCATTTTTTTTGTATTATGTTCGTTTTTTTTTGTATATTTATATAAAGATCTGAGATGGAAAAACTAAGTGAAAATATCAGATATTAAGTCTTCCATGTCACATTAAATTTGTATAATTTCTCTTCTTTCTTAATTATCCCACCAATCTGGTCCAGATGAATTATTACTGTAAGAGTTGTTGTAACTTCCTCCATAATTGCCCGATCCTCCACCATTCCCATAGTAACCTCCACCGCTGCCCCCTAAAGTTTAAAAAAAAAATATTTGAAATTGATATTTTCTACAGCAGTTTTTCGATTCATTTTTATATTATTTTAATTAATTAATTTTTAAATTATTTATAATTTATTATAATTTTCCCTCTTTTGCGGGTTATATAAAGTTCAAAAAAATTAATAAAGCAAAAGCAGTTAAAAGAAGTTCCGCAATTTCGTATTCAGGAAAAATAATAATACCGTATTATTGAAATTTCGAATTTAGGAAAATTTCACTATTTATTAAAATATTTATGCCAACAATTACAACAATTTTGTAAATTTCGTAAGGAAAAATTTTACTTTTGTTTAAGAATTTCCTTTAGAGGAACTGCGAGCTCATGGGTTTTCTAAAAGTGTAAAGATATCTGATCAATACAATTTAGGGAAATAACACATCCTATCAATTTCTCTGTTAACGTTATAACGAACATTAAAACTGAATAAGGTGGTAAAAAAAAACACAGTCCAAATATTTAAATACCAGATTGAGCATTTGATTACATATAAATTTGAAATGTTTTAATTTTTATCTGATTTTTCTTGAATATTCTTACCGTAACTTGGATTGCCGTTGCTTCTCATATTAGAACTGTTTCCACTTGGTCGATTATTACCAGAGCGATTACCTCCACCGGAGGACTGTTGACGATAATCTCGTGAACCAAAACCGCTTCCACCATATCGGGAACTGGCACCACGATTACTTGACCTCTTTCCACCACCATGAGAACGCTCTGATGCCATAATTTCCTCTAGGAAATTTGGTATTTCCTGCTTTGTTTCAATTAGTAATTCCATTAAATCTGCACAAATATTTCGATTCTTTTCATTAAAGAAACTTGTTGCAACTCCAAGATTTCCCATTCGACCAGTTCGCCCTATACGATGAACATATTCTTCAACATCAGAAGGCAAATCGAAGTTAATAACATGTTTAACATGTGGTATGTCTAGGCCTCGAGCAGCAACTGCTGTTGCCACCAAAATGGGACATTCACCTGATCGAAAGCATCTCAATGCTTCTTCACGTTCTTTTTGTGTGCGGTCACCGTGAATTGATGTAACAGGATGATTGCACTGATATAAAAATTCTTCAAGAGCGTCAGCTCCCTTCTTAGTTTCAACAAAAATTAATGTCAAGCTGTCCTTTGAATAATCTGGATTTCCTTCTTTTAGAGAAGATAAGAGATCTAATAAATAGGATCGCTTATCATGTTCGTTTACCCATAATATAGTTTGGGTAATATTCTCAGATGTTGAGCCTACACGTCCAACGGCCAAAAATATATAATTGTGAAGAAAATCGCCAGCAAGTTCTTGTATAGCTTTCGGAAATGTAGCTGAAAACATCAAAGTTTGTCGCTCTCCAGTTGGAGGCATATTACACTGTTCGACGACGCGTCGAATTTGTGGCTCAAAACCCATATCAAGCATTCTGTCAGCTTCATCCAAAACCAAAAATCTTATATTTTCCAAACAAACTTTTCCACGTGTTATCATATCCTCCAAACGACCAGGCGTGGCAACTATTAAGTGACATCCCCGATCAAGCTCTCTCATCTGCTCGCCAGTATTGTTACCTCCATATAACACGGCCGGCTTCATTCTTGATCTGTAAGAAAATTTTTTCGCTTCCTCAAATATCTGTGTAGCCAATTCACGAGTTGGTGCCAAAACTAAACCAAGAGGATATTGCTTTTTTCTATGATAGGGTCTGCTATTATTTGGCGGATTTGGAATTCCATGCTCGTACATTTGATTTAAAATTGGTACAAGAAATGCTGCTGTTTTTCCAGAGCCCGTTTGTGCACAAGCCATCTTAAATAAATACGGAAAAGTTCGTAAAAAATTTTCAAATTAATAAATTTATTTATATATTTACCAAATCACGGCCGCTAATTATTATGGGTATTGCATATTTTTGAACCGGTGTCGGTTTATCATATCTAGCCAAATTTATATTGTTTCGTATTATTTCTGTCAGCTTGACGTCTTCAAACGATGTAATATGTGAGGGTACTTGTACACCCGTCGCTTCCACGGGAATATCTTCGTATTTGTTAAAATTGATACCAGTATTGGCTGTACCAAATAATTCTTGTTCAAGACGTTCGTCTCTTGGACCCAAAGTAGTATAATCCACTTCAGTACGTTCTTTCCATTTTCCACCCAGTCCAGCACTGGACTCGGAACGTTTGTCATTTGCTGGTTCAATCCAGCGATCATTACGGGGTTGTACATATTCATCATTTCTTCCACGGTAATCGTCTCGTCTTTCCGATCCTCCTCTATTACCTTGAGAGCGACTGTTATTAATATCACTACGATTCCAATCACCTCCCCTTCTGCCTTCATAATTATCACCTTTTAGAGCAAAACAAAATGTTTAAAATAGATGTTTTTACTTATTTTTTTAAATGTATTTTACGTGTATATATTTGCATAATTTTACATTTACCATTTTGATAGTTATCGTCTCTTCTCCTAGAAAAATTTCCAAAATCAGAGCCGCGATCTAAACGATCGCGATTATTAAATTTCCGATTCCCACTGAAATTGAAATTATAAAAGTAAACAAAAATAAAGCAAAATTAGAAAACACATACCCCCGTTGATAATCACTATTATTTCTCGCCTCTCTATCGTTACGAAAATCTCTGTCGTTTTTGTAATCCCGATCTTTGTCAAAATCTCGATCACGATTTTTATTGAGTTCAAAAGTACTGGAATTGATAATAACGTTGTTATTCCCCCCTCTTAAATGAGGAGGTATGTAACGTGCTGTTGTGGATGAAGAAGAATTTTTATTAACGGATGTGCCACTATCGGCGTTACCGTCATTCAAGTCCAGACCAGCAACCTGTTTAAAAATTATAATTTTTGATAAATACACATACATCCATATTCATATATAAATAAATATTTTGGAAAAAGAAGAAATGTGTACAAATAAATGAAATATAAAAAAAAAAATTTATATATATACAAGTAAATAAAATTATCAGTATAATGTCTAAAAATACTGATAAACATTTACATACATACATATATATTTCTACTAAAACACAATCATAAAAACTATCCTTTACAAATTAAATTCAAGAAAAGAAAGCAAAAAGAGATTTAGTTTAAATCCATATTGATTGTCATATGAATTTATATTAAGCATTTGATTCTGTTGCTATCCAAATTGTTTAAGTTAAATATTAAGGAAATGAACCTCTAAATTTATTCAAAAATTCATTCATATCGTACCTCTTGCCCATGTATTCAAATTTTAATTATGGAAAAAGGTGGGTGAAGGTTCTATCTAGGCACTAAATTTTCAAAAACGATTTATATTTTTTTATGTTAGCTACGATAACTATTGAATATTTGCTTTTTCAACCAAAATTTCCCAATTAAAATAAAACTTTTGTATTAAAATATCTTCAAATGATATTAAAAAAGTACATAAAAAATTATTGTATTTAAACGAAATGTTACACAATTTCGCAAAAAAAAATTATTAATAGAAAAAGCCTACGCAGTCTTAATAAAAATTGTAAGTACCTACCTACCTGCCTTTCTTCGAATGAGCTTAAAAAAGAGCAAAACTTTAGGTTTGTTCTTCACCTATATTTTTCTGGCATTCGCAAAGACCTTATATTATAATACATAAGTTGTACATTTTAGAATATTTTCTCAAGCGATAGATAATTAGTAGGGACCTACCCACCTAATTAAAATTCTCATTAACTGGGGTTATTCAATTTCTAATGTCTACATTCTAAAGAGTTATTTCAATCATTGCAAAACTAGTATGCTAGTACTGAATTTCTTTTTTATATTGGAAAAAAAAATCCAATCAACACTAATTTAAACATTCTGAATATTTTTTTTTTTTTTTTTGACAAGATATAAAAATGTGGACAGAATAAAAGGCACCATTTCATTTTTTTTTCAATTTCATAATGTAATTTTAGACAAAAACCTGTGAATCAAATGATATTGCTGGATCTATCTGATTCGACAACCAAAAAAAAATAAAATTAAAGAAACAAAAAAAAAATAAAAAAATAAAATAAAAGTGAAATTTGTTTGACGTTTGCAATCGCATTTTTTTTCTCTTTTTTACCTACACTGGAACTTGACTTCGATTTGCCACAAAATGAAGCAAATAATGGCCGACAAAGAAATCCTCACTTGTTAATAAAACTAAGTTTTATTCAAAATTTAGCGTTTTACTTAAAATTTTTCTTCTATTTTTACTAAAAACTTACTTGCTGCTCTAGACCTGTGCCATTTTGGTTAATAGCATTACTCATATTACTTCCAGGCAGGAGCTAATTAGATTTTTTTCGTTTTTGTTCGAAAAACCTTCAGAACTTTTTTCACTTTTTTTATGTAAATTCTAATAAGTTTTTAATAGTTTTCTTGTAAAGAAAAATTTCACAAATTATTTATGTATTGAAAAGTTTTTTTAATTATAAAGTTCACATTTAAATTAAATTTTTTTAAATGTCTTAACGCTAAAATATTCTTTTTTTTATATTTCAAACTATGTATTATCTATACGCTTCTTTCTCTCCACCACTTTTTAATCTTTTTTTTTAATTCTATTTTCTAAAAAAAGATGCTGCTCAACATTGACATTTCTACTTTATGTTTCTGCTGATTATTCTGATTTGACATATTACAAATTATTTACATCCCTGAAACGGAACGTTGAAATAAAAAGCTTCTTGGGTTGAAACGATGAAGCCATAGAAAATCAAAAATCATAAAATGAGGTCAAATATTTTGACACATACATTAAAAATTTTTTATTGAAAAAATAAAGAAAGTTGCCTTTTCAAAATTAGTTTAAAAAGTTAACTACATAGTTAAATTACTTTATTTTTTAAAGAGCTCAAAAATAATTTGTAGCTAAGCTCGGAAACTTAATTTTTATTTTTTTGATAATTATGTTATCTGACATCCGTTCTCTGATTTCATTTTCATAAAAATGTAGTAAACTTTTCATATCGAAACGGTTTGTGGAATACCCTTACTAGTTGAGAATTCTACACAGTCTTATAACCGAAAATACCTTATGATAGTCCTTTTTACATTTTTTATAAATATTTTATAATTGCTCATTAACTAAACACATACGTTAGTTATGTGACAAATTTAAGATTTGACATCAGACTTTGTTTGAAGACAAATAAAAGAAATTTCTCTATTCGCTTACGATTTACTGTTATATTTTTCAAATGTGCTGCTTACAAATACGACGAAATTCAAAACTAAACTCACGATAATTGAAGTTTTGCGGAAAGTTTTGTAGCTACTAGCTGATTTTTATTTTGGTTATAATTTACGTAACAAATTGTTTCATGTGCTAACTGTACTATATATAAAACCACGTTTATTTGTTTACTCTTTAATATCTGCTCCGTTAACTTTTCTCAGAAAAAAAATATAATTGACATTAAATATATTACTTTAACTATTTCAGTTTAGTAATTCTCAGACTTGGGAACGGTATATACGTACATCATATTTTTGCTTTATTGTGTTTCTTTTCAATATTATGCTATTTTAGACAACGCAACAGCAACAAATATGCTCTTTCCTTTAGTATTTTTAATTTGTTGTTATTGCCGGTCTATCAATGAATTACTCTATGGTTTAGAAAAAGTTAAAACAAGTAAAAACGCTCTTTGAGTATAGAGTTAGAGTAGATTTAAGAACTCAAGCTACCCTGCCTGGCACATGTAACTGAGGTAGCGTTTGTAATATTTTCTGGACCGAATACAGCTGTTGATGTACTGTTAATTTATTACAAATTTGTTTCTTGCTGCAGGTGGTGTTGGTATAAATGTGATTTTTAATTATTTTAATACTTAAATATTTTTACAATAAATACATACATATGTATATACTATTTGAAATTTGATTATGAAAAGAAATTGTGATACATTACAATATAAGCAATTATAAAATAAAAGAAATACGAATAACTGTTATTCGGTGCTGCGTTCCAGAGTGTACGAATGTATTCCAGGTATTTCTTTTTATTTATTGATATTCTGTAAACATGCAAAGGTGGATCCAAAACAATTCTGTAAGGACTTCTGAAATAAGCAGTTCTAGAGCACGTCTTTTAACGGTTTTGTACATCAAGATCTGCCTAAATATGGTATCAAAAAACTACAATATTGATGCTCGTAATATTCAAGATCCCATATTCGAAGGCTACATATGTACATATGTATGTGTGTGGTTTTGTAACTTTAAATACATATATGCTGAAGAACTCAATATTTATGTACATATTTACATTAATTTTAATGCGTTGAAGTAATATGATATTGGGAGTTGGATAACATTCGTTATCCAAACAAATATCACTACAATATTCGTTGTTTAGTTACATATGTATGTATATAACTTTCGTAACACACTACCTTTATCAAAACTTCAAAGTTTTCTTTCAAAAAAAAAAAAAAACAAATGCAATGCTTAACATTTTATTAATAATAATGAGTTCAAAAACAAATCTTTTACAACTTGGATTTGATTTCACTTTTGCTATTCGGTAACATTTCCTTTAGCTTACGTCTTAAAATTTTTCCACTTGGATTTTTAGGAATTTCTTGAATAAATTTTACGCCACCCCGTAAGTGTTTTGCTGGAGAAGTTTTTTGTGCTACAAAATCAATTACTTCTTTTTCATTTAATTCCACGTTTGGTTGTTTGACAATAAAAGCAAAAGGCAATTCACCAGACTTCTCGTCTGGCAGCCCAACTACTCCAACATCTTTAACTTTGGGATTCGTAAGAAGAATTGATTCAATTTCAGCTGGCGGAACTTGAAATGCTTTGTATTTTATTAATTCTTTAATACGATCAACAATGAAAAACTCTAAGTCATTATCAAAATATCCTATATCACCAGTATGTAACCAACCGTCTTTCAAAACAGATTTCGTTGCTTCCTGATCTCCTATATATCCCTTCATAATACATTCACCTTTAAAACATAATTCACCTCGTTGATTTGGACCTAATATTTTACCAGTTTCTGGATCAATTACTTTAGCCCAATGACCAACTTTCAAGGCACCAACACTACCAGGTTTGCAAAAATTTTCATTTTGTCGTAATACACCTAATGTACATTCCGATAAGCCATAACCTTGTCGTATAATAGGAATCCGACATCTTTTATAAACTGCATTTTCTGTTTCTCTACTCAATGGGGCAGCACCACAAAATAAAGCTTCAATAGACGAAAGGTCATATTTTTCAACCAATGGATGTTTTGCTAGAAAAACCATTAGCGGCGGCACCATATATACAAAATTAATTTTATATTTTTGAATGGCACTTAAAAATTCCTCTTCTTGGAATTTTGCAAAATATACTAAATGTATGCCAGATGAAATAATACCAAGTAACGTACAACATCCAAAAGCATGAAACCATGGCAAAATGCTTAAATATTTGGAATCTGATGGTAAATATGAATTTGCATCACTAAAAAACAAAATAAATTTTTAAAATTACGATAAATTTTAGAGCAAATTAATTTTTTGTATATGTATATACTCACTATTGACGATCAATAGTATTTAATAAATTTCTTTGAGTAATTTGGACGCCTTTCGGTAATCCAGTAGTTCCTTTAAAAAAGTTTAATACACATTAAAAATAGTTATAATATTGTTTATTTTCCATATATTACCAGAAGAACATGTAATTAAAATAACATTTTCGTCGATGTTTGTGGGCTTTGCAAGATATATTGGATAGGATCTTGTACTGGGATTATTTATTAAGCTGTTAAATGTTTGAATATCTTTATATGGCGATGTAGTATCAAATGTATAAATTTGTTTTATAAATTCATTGTTTCTGGCGACATTTCGAATTCTCTCTGCAGCAATATTAGATACAAAGAACAGTTTAGGTTTTGTTAAATTTACAGCATGATGTAATTCACCTAAAATTGTTTAAAATTTCTTTTTTATTTTTACACATTTAAATTATCATTTTTTCGTATGACAAGTATAATTTAACATAAAAGATTCAAATCTGTACATCGAATTGTTTTTCAATATCATTGAACTACCAAAGATAACTTCTTGTTTTTGTGCAAAAAGTTTTTTCAAGAAATTTCAAGATAATATTACATTAGGTATTTAAATAAGTTTACTATTAAAAATTTATGCTAATATTGTGAAAGTCCGGTTAGACTTTAACCCAATTATATATTATTGTGCTATATATTTTTATTCAGTTGTTTTTTTCTATTTAATTTTAAACATAGCATTAAATTATTAATGTTTTTCAACTTATTCAAATACATATATTTTTGCTTTTGTCCAAGATTTTCGGGAGAATTTTGAAGTAACTTACGTTCCGTATATGTAACATTCAATGGGGCTGCAGTTGCATTCAAACAAAAAATTGAAAATATAGTTATAACAAATTCAAATCGATTTTCACTACAAATTCCAACAACGTCTCCCTCTCGAACTCCTAATTTTTCTAAGCAATATGTTAGGCGTATAATTTTTTTCCTCAGTTCAATAGCACTTATATTTTTACCAGTTAATCCGTCAGTCTGAAAAATTTTTAAAATTAGTTTTTAACATATAAAGATGAAAATGTAATAAAATTTAGTATGTACATAATTTTTACCAATATTATTTTATTTCCATTCTTTTTTAATTCTTTTAAAAAATATTGAGCAAATGTTTTACATCCAGATGTTACACTTGTGCTAATTGGGCCTCCATATACAATATTATCTTTATCAATTGAAGCCATATTATTATGTTAGATTAGAGTGACGCACCTATATTTCTTTCAAATTCTGAAAATATACTGATTCTTACGGATTTATTAATCTTTTTCGTTAATGTATTATAATTTTGTTTCTTTTTTATTATGCAAGTATTGGTATGTTGTCTTTCAAAATATTAAATCTATACGCTTGTATACATGGATCGGTTTCAACAATTCCATGTTTGTATTTACTGGTTAATTATGTATTTTTATATGTATATTAAACAAAGGTTAAAGATAGATTGTAAGTTTTTGTAGAGATATGCATGTGTGTTTCGTTTACTTGAAATTTTAAAGTTAAATTATGTTGTGTAGTTGCTATTCGTTTCCATTTATAACAAGTAGCATAACTCTTAAAAAAACTATTAAAGAATTATATCTTTGGATACTAATTCAAGATTATTAAGATCATTATTCATTATTTAATATTTTCAATTATTAAATACATACATACATATCTTTAAAGAAAATTTAGATTTATGTGTCCAATTCTATTCATAATGGAAAATATTGTAGAATAATTTTGTCTTATTATTATATATAAATATTCAAAGGCTGTCTGACTTGTGTGTTGAAATTTTTAATTTATGTTCTAAGTGTATGGTCATACTTCTAAATATAAAATAAATCATAAATTCGGTTCTCATGAAAATGTTGAATTTAGGATTTTTCAGTTTTAAAAAAAGAGGGTTCAAGAACTTTTCTTTTAAATGTATTTTAAATAAAATTATGGTAAATTTTGGTTGACTTATTGAAATCAGGTATAACTATTTTTAATTATGTACATATGTATACCTTTACTTTTAACCAAGCTCTTATCGTTTATCAGCGTGCTTACCTAAATAGTCATTATCTTAAATAAAAGAGAAATTTTGTTGTTCTTTAGTTCTTGCAAATCATTGTTTTTTCAACCGATATAAATTTTTAGATAATTAGTTATTTTGGTTATCATTTTAGCAAATCATATTTTATTGAATTTGAGTATGGTTAAATTTAAAACATATGTACATATTTTTATTGTGAATTATTAATATTAGCAAGATATACGTTTATTTTGTATTTAATTTTAGTATAGTTTAATTTTGGAATTTCAATTTAACTGCCACTGGAACATATTTACTGTGGTTGTGTTATTATACCCTGCACTTCGTGAAGGGTATATTCACTTGGGTATGGAGTTTGTAACCACTTGAAGGTATGGACATATATATAAATTCTTGCTCAGCGTAAAATTCTGCGTTGATTTCGACATGTCCGCCCGTCCGTCCGTCCGATCGCACGGTAACTCAAAAACGAATAATAAAATCGACGCCAAACTTTCACAAGTTTTTTCTTTTGTGCAAACGACGGCTGCTATTGCAATTGGGCCAATTCGGATAACGGGTTCGGGTAGCTGGCATACAACTCCGAAAGTTAAATTTAAATATTTGAAAAAAATAATAAAGCTAGATTCATGAAACACGGCAAACGTGTGTCCAATTTCAGGTCAGATATAACCTGACGAAGTTTTGGTGAAATGGCTTGATAGGGTCGGGTAGCTGCCATACAACTCCGAAAACTAAGTTTAAATGTTTGGAAAAATATTAAAGCTCAATAAAATATTAAGGCTAAATTCATGAAAATCGGTCGTCGTGTGTGTCTAACTTATAGGTCAGACATAATATCCGTGAAGTTTCTTTTGAGTGGTTTGACAGGTTCAAGTTATTACCATTTAGCAATCAAAATTATTTCTAAATATTTCAAAAACAAATTTTTATACTCAGATTGTCCAAGTGCAGGGTATTATTCAGTCGGTATAAACTGTTTTTACTTGTTTTTATTCATTTTATTAAATGTATATATACAAACATTAATATGCAAAATATCAACTTGGTTTGTTTATTCGCTTAAAAATTTTAATTGCAATTGTATATCTTATCAGAATCATATTTTAAACGTCTATGTGTAAATACACACTCTTTTATTTATGTTTGTGTGCTTAATATCAATGATAAATTAATAGATTACTACACACTCATTCTTAATAAATTTAAGTTAATTTTTAATAAAATTATTCTGTTACAAATCTCAATTTGTTTTTTTATAACTTTTCGAAGAGAAAAGACGTACTTACGTGTATACCAATGAGGACTTGTGAAAATATATGTATTTGTACCACACATCTAACGTTTTAGTATATATATGAATATATGTAATTTGTATTAATAAAAGAGAAGAATGACATAGCTTGACCCACTATACCCCAATGTATCTTGGGTTTTCGTCCTATATCAGTGGTTGTTCTTATTTTAATTTACTTTGCTATAAGTATAGAACTATGTTTTATACTTAAAGTTATTTTCCTTGTAATAATGTAAATGTTTGCGTTATAGTTCAGTTCTAACTTATGCTAAGGAAATGAAGGAAATAAGGGAAAATTGCAGTTTTTTGAATGGAACAGGCAATTAAAATAAATTTGAATAAAATATCGTTGTTTAAATGTTTTTTTCCTGATTCCGTAAGAGCTTGTATGAGACATTACATATTATTTATAAAATAACATAATATAAGTATTACAAATATTAATTAAACCATAGCTCGCTTTAACAGAGCTTATTAAGCATATTGTACTAAATTTTTTTTCAGTATAGCTCACATATTATCAGAATAATTTTATTTCTAGTGTCATAAAGAGAAAAGAAAATAGAATTGAAACATTTTTATATGAATAATGAATGTGATTATTCTATTAAACATCTAAAAATAAAAAAAAAAGTATATAAAAATAAGAACTTGCTTTTTCTCATTTTACTCTACTCATTTTTTTACAACTACTTCATTCCATTTTTAAATTATAATAAAAAAAATGTTGTTTTAATAATGATTTACTACTAGGTCTCTTATAATATAAGAGATTAAATTCTCTTATATTATAAGAGAATTTTTTGATCAAAAATTTTAATGAGCGTTATACGCACTATATGTATTTGTACATAATGTTATAAACTATTACAGAAATTAAGAACTTGAAATTTTCTCTTAAATAGAAAATTTTTCAATTTTATTTGTATAATTAATTAAGTTAATTTTTATAAAATCGATGGATTGTAAGTTGAGGACTATTAATCTTCCGTATTATTAAGAAAATTCGATAGAATTTGTAATTTCATAGAAATGGAAAATGTTCCTAAAAATGTCTATAAAACGAAATTCTATGTGAACGCAATTGCATCAACCACTTTTACTTTTTAAAAAAGTGCTTGTTTTTATCTGTACAGTTCATTAACGTTTTGAGTTTGGCTGAACAAAAAATTTGCAAACTTTTTGATTAATTGAGGAAAAAAAAGTAAAAAGTTATTGGTGCAATATGGTCCGGGTAGCCCCGAGTTTCAATGAAATAGTTTGTTTATAATTATATATTTCAAACTAATAATCAAAATGGAATGAAATTTTAAATTTTTCCATTTTCAATGATCTATGAATTTCTATAATATAATATACATATGAGTTTATGAAGGTCATGTTATTAATGTTTCAGATTGGGAACTTATATGTATTGTGTTATTGTAATAATGTGTTATACCTGACCCTTTAAATGCCTTAAGATCCTGAGATGAATAATGAATATTTTCAACAATTGAAAATTTATGAGCACAGAAATCCTAATTTTGCAGGTAGTGAATCTACCTTTTAATTTTTTTATAAATTAAAGTTTCAATAAAAAAGAATTTTTAGTTACAAATTATTTAGTAACACTTCATATTATTATCATAAAATTAACTATTTACAATATTATGTAAAGAATAATTTAAAATTAATAAAAATATAAATACATATACACATACATAATACAATTTAGTCAGTTTTTTGTAATGTGGGCTGCATAACATTGTTAATATCGGAAATTTTTATAATTATGCAGCTCATCATGCTAAAATTCAATTATTATTATACAAATATGTACATATATTAATTTGTGGAACAGTAATACAAAAAGGCGCTATACATATACAAATACGTTTTACATTATGTGTGAAAAAAAAAGTAATTATTTGGAAATAATTAATGCACGATAAATGTATGGTTAATATTGTTGTAAAATTTTGTTATAATTTTGTTTCCTATAGAAAATATTTTATGTTAATAGATCAAAGTAATAAATATATATATATATACATATATATTATGTACATTAGATAATTATTTTAATTTTATGATTTTAATTTTTCATAAAAGTTAAATAACCATAAACTAATTGAAAAAAGTCTTTAGGTGTCCAGATTAACAAATTAGATTAAAAAAATGATTATTTTAAAATTTTTATTTAATAAACAATTTTTTTAACATACATACGTTACATACATATATTATTTTCACAATACCAGTTGTTGTATGCACATATGGTACGTAAAAATATTAATTGTAATTTTTCTTTTATAACACGATTAATTGAAATAAAAAATGATTTTAATTTTTTTATATATGTAGTGCAAATGAATTTTTTCTTTTAATTACAAAATAAAATTTTTAATTTTAAAATTTTAGAAGTCATGCTGAAACCTTTTTTCAAAACAATTCAAAATGATATTTTAAATATTGTATAGGTGTTTAAACTAAACATACTCCTAAAAGAATTGAAAATTAAACTTTCACAAAAATAAGAAGAAACAAAATGAAAATTTAAAAAGTGTTTTACAACTCTAAAGCAAAACTTTTTTAAAATATCATTGAACAAAGTACATAAAATTTCTTAATATTTAATATTTGTTTTTATTTAATGGTATAACATTATTGTTGCAATAAAAAAATTCAATTCCTACATAATAACGGTATATAATCGAAATGTTTATATAAAATATAAATTATGAAATTTGCTTTTGAAATCTCTTACATTTAAATTATTATGATTAAATGAGGAAACTGAAAAAAATTCTACATTTGGCTTGGAAATTAGAAAGTACGAGTATTTTTATTAAACGATCCTGTTACGAATTCAATAAATAGCATTTACTTATTATTTATCTACAAAAATTTAGATGTGCACACAAAACAATTTTGTGTATTACAATTTTTATTTATCAATATAGAATTATAACATTGAATTTAATATTCTTAATAAATTAAGTTAAACTTTAATTGAAAATTCTGTTTTAAAGAATTATATCATAAATTTCCGAAATTCCTAAAAAATTTTTAAAAGTTAATAGAGTAAACACTATAATTGTAATTAAAATTATAAAATATAACTTGATACCATAAAAAAAAGGTTTTGATAGAATGTTTTATTGTTGCACAAATGAGAACCAAATTTTTATTTGAATAGAGGAATAAAATTAGAAATTCTAATCTAATTCTAATTTAGAATATTTATATATGTATATATTTACAACGAATTGTTTTATATTTTATCCTAATAAATTTGAAATTTTAAAAGAAAAATATGTGAATATTTATTTGGGGTTACAAAATCGTATTGTCACCTCCAAGTGGTGTAACCTGGTAACGGTGGAAGACGAAAGCTGATTGAAATGTTGTAGATTGATGATTAGGCTTGCGACTTTGTTTCAAGCCAATTCCTCAATCTTACAGACATATATTTCAGTTTGATGCTCTACATCGGCTAACGACAAACGTCCCAAGTCAAGGTGGAACAGCATACGCCAAGGACTGCGTGGCCAAGGGGAAGCTTGGTCGTTAGTATGCGAACTCCGGATACCAGGCGAACTCCGGTTTCAATTAGCCTTCCCGTGGTATTGGGGATCTCTGCCACGGGTGACCGTCCTTTCTCCCCAACTCGTGGGAATTATAATGAATATTCAAAAAACAAAAACACAACAACAACAGAAGTTAGAACAACAACTAGAACAACAACGGGAGGCTACTGTGCCTACATCGTTACCTGTAATTGCAGCGATTGCGGCTATTGTGCAGTAATCGGATGCAGGTAGTGTGGTTACAGCTGCTGCGCCATCGTCAACGATGATAGCAGCGGCAACAGTATCGCCGACGTCAAAGGTGAACTACGAAGCCAGTACTTCAACAGAAGAAATGGGGCCACCAACATTTAATAGAAAGAACGATGAATCTCTAGTTGAGTGTCTGAGCAGCAACAAATGCTCTAAGGTGTCGCTGCTCTCTGAGGAAAGTCATGGAAGTCAAGCTGATGCACAAGAGGCTCCAAAAAGAATTGTAGGCTCCACTAAGCGTGTCAAAATGAGTGGCGCTGCAAAGAGGCGATTCAGGAGACTCTTGGACCAGGGAGTGAATATTAATGAGGCTCGTGTGCTTTGCAAGAATCCCTCTGTTAACACCAAAAACCGTAATCGATCGGATGATTCGGTAGAATATCGACCGATTGAAGCAAAGAAGTTCAAACTGGATATTAAACAGAACCTTAATTGTACTAAAGATAGTCCAAAATTTTCAAAAACCTGAACGAAGGGAGTTCCAAAATCGTTCAAAGCAACATAAGGATGTAAAACTTTTCGCAAATTACCGAAATGAGATATCAAAAAATAAACAGCAAGAAATTTCAAAATCAGATTATTTGACAAGCAATCGACTGACTACAACGGCTATTAGTGCCGCACCTAAGACCAAAGTGGTTCGACCAAATTACAAAGAAGTTCCTGGTATTGTAAGGATTGGGATCCTTCACGTAGGCTACCCTGATATATCATTGGAAGATGTTCAAATGATACAAATCCAGGAGGAGATCATGGAAAGGATTTTTAAGCAGCGCGAGAGTATCGTAAAGCCACAGTTTTTAGAAAGTAATTTTCGAATAGGGTGGCTTCTATTAGTCTGTCTGGACAGACAAACAGCAGACTGGGTCAAAAGAGAGGTCGAAACAATAGCTCCTTGGAAGGGAGCTAAACTACAAGCAGTTGAGGAAGCGGAAATTCCAAGAGCTAAAGTCTTCCGAGGATTCTTTCCACATGCTGCTGGAACGTCCACGGGGAAAGTGTTGGGCTATATTGGTGGACAAAATGCTGGACTAACGGTCGACCAGTGGAAGATTCTTGGAAAAGAAGTGTCCGGTAGCGGACTTTTGCTAACTTTCGCCATTGACTTTCACTCTGCCAGCGCACTTGCGGCTATGGATCACACAATAAGCTACCGTTTTGGACAGGTCCAATTTGAACAGTGAGTCAAAAGACAGAAAACGACTGTAAAAGAGGGGAGGGCCCTCCAATAAATCCGATTGCAGCTGGCCTCCGATTGGCTGAGACTGAAGTGTCTTTGGAGCCGTTGTCAGAATCAACCAAAAATGAATGAATTTAAAAGCAATCATCAAACCTTCATTATGCTAAGGCAACGTCAGGTTAACTTACAAGTGTAAGTTAAGGGATCATATTACCGACTATGTATGTAATTCTGTTAAATTTTTTCCATTCCAGAGCTTATAAACAAAGAACTTGGTGGAAGGTGGAAATGATTTGACAGGATGTGAAAACAAAAGTTAGATTGTGCATCTTATAACTTTTAAGGGGACTAAAATATGGCCCCTGTTGAGGACGTAGAGAAACTCAAGGAACACTGCAGCGACTAGAATAAATAACTGATTTGGACTTGTCAATGATTGCTTACCATACGATTTCTGGTTGCACGGACACTATCCGAAAGGGTAAGTATCTCTTAGATTTCTAGAATATAGCTTACATGCAGCTTTTTGATATTCGTACTACCACTATCAAATTAAATGCATATCATCTTGAACAAACTGACATATAGTTCTGGAACGACTTTTCAGGACACCAGTAAAGCAGGTCCACTGTACAATCTTGTCAATCTGGATTAAAACTGACAAGCACATATTTAACGTTTCCGAAATATTTGCACTTTAATAATAATTAAGAGTATCATGGAGTTGACACAATCAACTCTACTTATTCTTGTTTTTGTCAGTAATATGTCATAAATACTATTTGTTTAAAACATACTTAACCCTTCAAGTTTCAGCAAAACCCTTCAAAGATTATAATAGATTTTAAATCGTGGTGTGTTTGCAGAAAGAGCTTGAAAACTTGAAAAGAATAAGAGCAAAAGTTGCGTATATAAACATACTCGTATAATCTTCCAATTTTTTTTTTTTTGTTAAAAACATACACTCCTTCTGAAAATATGCAATTAAATTTTTTTTTTTTTTTGAAGATTTATAGCTATATTTTAAAATTTTTAAAATATATGCTTAACTTACCAATTTCTGATATTGAAACTGACTTCTGATATTGTACCGTATTTGAAGTTCAAATAAAATAATATCGGTAAAAACGATTTTCAACTTAATTAGAGTTGTTTTTAATTTAATTTCTTTTGTTTCTGCATTTTGCATGGTAAAATTGAAATTAATCATAAAAAATTTAAAGCGAGGACAATGAAATTGGTCACAAAATTTTACGGTTGAATTTGATTTAAATTTCATAAAATTGCTAATTATACCCGTACGAACGTATGTTCGAACGTATGTTTGTTTCCTATTTTTGTATTCAGTTTCTGTTTTTAAAAAATTAATATTTCAATGCTATGTGTAATGATTTCAGACTGGATAACGACTCGAATTTTGATGGTTTAAACCGTTGCAGCATAACCATATAGAACCGTATATATTATTGTTGCAGCATAAACCGTATAAATTTATAGCATTTTGTTGCAGTTATCATTCCAGTTGTGGGATAACGATTTCATCTTTATAAATTTTGAAATTATACATATGTAAATATATTGACATATGTATCTATAACAAAAAAGAAAAAAAAAATATAACATGTACAAAAATAGTAAAAATAAAAAATTCGTACATATTTGTTAAAATTGTTTTTATTTATGTAAACAAACTATTGGTCTATTTAGCTCTTCGCCGTATCTTCATTTTTAATTAAATGTATAATATTAATTTTAATTATTTCAAGTTTAAAAATTACGACAAAAAAAAACAAACCTTTTGTTTTCACAATCCTTTTGTATTAATTTTTTTGTATAAATTATTTTGACATAATTTTTTTTTTAATTATTTTTAGGGATAATGTTTTTACTTTTACTTTTTTTTTTAATTATGAGGTGTTTAAATGCTATTATGAAGTGCAGAGGGGTAGCTCTGCTTTTGTTTTTTTTTTTTGGTTGCTGAACCATTGATTAGTTTAAAAATTTTTAATGGCTTGTTATAAAATTAATAAAGCAATTGTAGAGATGATTCACAATTTTTTCTTTCTTTTTAAAATGTATTTTTCTTTTACATTTCTTACATTACATATTATGTATGGTACTGTAACTTGCCTGTAATTGACGAAAACAACATTAAACGCTAAGAAACATAAAACAAAAACAAAAAATTGTACTATAAAAGAGAACTTGCTCTTTGATTAAACATCAGTTAACCTGGGAACGGTAAACAAACAAGTTGTTGATAAATTTTCGCGAAAATCATTTTATTTCTTGAAAGATTTATAAAAATTATTTTGTTATTTTCATAAATTTTGTTAATTTTTTTTTTGGAAAAAGAAAAAAATTGTTGCATATTTCGAACTTCGTGAATTTTTTCTTTTTGTTTTTAGTGCATTTAATTTGGTTTTATTTTTAAATTTTTATTAAGTTAAAGTTAAAGTTAAATAACAGTTAATAAAAATTTTCTTTACTAGTTTTTACTAATTTTTTGTTATTTTTATTATTATTTTTAAAGTCACATTTTCTTTTAATTACATTTTTTGTGTGTGAGATTTAAAGTGGTAACGTTTATATTGTACATATAAATAAATCGCATTAATATTTTTTTTTATGATTATGAATAAAAAAGTTGCAATAACAGTAATTTAACAAAAATCATATGTTCAACGGCTTACACACGACATTTATATACGGTGAAATTTTATACAAATAAAAATACTATTCAATACATTGTATCTATATCTAGATTTGTATTGTCCAAGAGTATTATTGACCTTTTACAGTTTGGGTAGTTAGTTAATAACCTTTCGATTTTATTTAAATTACCTTTAAATGTACAAGTTTTGATTATTTGAAATTGAAAGTGAAATTAATTTTTTTTTTTTATTTTTTCATTATTTTTAATTTGAAAACTTGAAATTGTAAGGTATTGCATCAATTTTTTTTTTTTTGCAAGTGCATTTGATTAATTTAAATTTTGTTAAATAAATTGCAGCAAATAGGATTATTAACAAAAAAGTATTATCTTATATAAACGGTTTTATAATTTAACAAACAAAATGAAAATTTCATATGGAATAATTGTATTATTTTTTGTAATAGGTAAGTAAGGTGAAAATTTATATTAAATAATTAAAAAGTTTGGTAGTTTTGAATGATAGAAAATTATTTATGATTTATATTTTAATATATAATTGAAGTATATATGTAATGATAAATAATGTTGAGTGATTAAAATTAAAATTCAAAATGCAGTTTTAGGAAATTTTAATTTCAACCCTGAATTAAAATATTGTTATTGTATAACAATTTTAGTGATTCCTCAAATAATTTAAGAAATTCATTTTATTACAAACCAATTCCTTTTACATTTGATTCTGCATAATATCGTACTGTTTTCGTAGGATGTTTTCGTAAGTTTTCCATTCATTCGTAATAGTGAAAAATAATGGTGAAAAAGACCTTATGGTATAATGTCTATACTTATTCTTTCACATACAGATCCAAATTCACAAAATTTTTGTAAATTATTTTTAACAGTAAATGCAGGAACCATTACATATCAATTTTAAAAGTAAATTTACCATGTCTCAAGAATTTCTTAAGTTACTCTACTGAAATTTCGCATGTATAAATAGTTTAATGGGGCCACTATTTTCTTATAAAATAGTTAAAATTATGTTAAACTCTATAATAGTGATCCTGCTATACAATTTTAAAAATAATACCTTTAATGTATCGAGGATAATTCGGGCTTTTTCTCTAAATTTTTTTTGAATGCTCATGGATTCTTTCAATTAATTATTTTATTTGTGTACAAGCTGCAATTATCAAATTTAATAAGATTATTTTTTTAACGAGCCTATTTTGAAAAAATACCGGTCCAATTTGTTTGTCAAAGATGCCGTTATGTTGCAAGTTATAATTGTTGCATTGTTTATTGCAAATCAATTAAAATAAAATCTATTTGTAATTGACTAAATTTTATTCTGTTCTGTTCTTATTAACTGATTTCAAGTATCACTTTCGATATCAAGTGTAACTTTCTGAATATACATATTTTACATGAGTTAAATAATTCAATAGTTTAATTGTTTGCACACATTTTTTGATTAATTTCGAAAATTTTATAATTTTTATTCGAATATTTAATAATTTTATGTTTTTCTTTAGTCTTATTTTGTTCTTCATCTGTTACATGAAAATTTCCAAAAAAAAATATGCAAAGTAGAAATAAGTCAAAAAGTAAACAAAGTAGATTCAAAAGAAAACTGCCATTCAAAAATGTTATCTAAAGGAATGTTTTTTTACATTTTCCACATATTATTAAATTATAAAAATCATAACATTTTGTAAATACTGAATATTCTGTAGTGAGATATTTTACGTTACGTTTGCTTAATTTAATTCGTATATAATGCGTAATATAATTTAAATGAATTTATTTTATTAACTTTGGATAATTTTGTCAAAAAAAAAAATTTGGTATGTAATGTTCATTTGATGTAAAAGTAAGAAAAAAATACTTTTTAATTTTCAATAAATAATTTTTTTTTCTCTTTATATGTAACTAGTAATTTGGAACATTAAAATAAGTAAGGGTAAAAATAATATGAATTTCCTCAAACAGTTAAACGGATGTAGAGAGTTACCAGTTTATGAAGAGGATTACATAATACAAAATTTTTTTTAATTTTTATTTTTTGACAACAAAATTATTTTAATTCATTATTCAAACTTTTTTTTTTTTTTTGACAAATAATTTACAATTTTAATTTAATGACTTTTATTTCTATTTAAAAAAGTGAAATTTCACGTATTTTTTTTTTTATTTTTAATGTTGTAACGTTTATTCATAAAAGTGTAGCTTGTACTTTAGAGAGTTCCCACAGTTTTATGACAGGAAAAATGATTTGGTAAAATTTGGTTTGATTTGAAAACAAAAACAAATAATGTTTTTTTGTCAAGAATTAAATTTAATACAGAAATATTGTTATTGAGAGAAAATTTCTTTGTATCTATATTGTAGCAACAATTCTAAATATAAATACATATGTACTTTTTATAAGAAAGTTAGGTATTAGCCTTTTTTAATAGGAATATATTCCTATTAAAAAAGGGTATCATATCATATATTCGCTATTTATATATTTCGTCTAATTTTCTATTCACATTAAACAACTAGATACGTAAATAACTCTTAAACTATTTATGAAATGAAAGTGAAGCATGGAACAACAGGTTTAAATTTAGCAATTTAAATATGTTTGTATAGCGATTTTGTTCGAAATTATGAAGTTTGCTTCAAATATTGTCAAAAATTACTGAATTATTAGAATTTTTTAAAAAAAAAACATTACCTCACAACACGTCTTACCATTGTCTATATTCGCTTTCGATTAATGAACTAATATTCTTACAGTTAAATATATGTATGAATGTATTACATGATTTTGACGAAATATAACAAAAATTTTTGAAAATTACATACTCAAAATTTAATATTTTTACTAACAAAATGGTTATTATTGATCTTGACAAATGTTTTAAGAACATCGTGATTATTAGCAATAAATAAATAACTTTAAATTAATTTCATTTTACACATTTTCTATATTCAAAATTTTACGCATTTTTATTATTTTATGTTAATAATACATATATGTAGGTACTTACTGCCTAAATTTAAACTTTCTAAAAATAACGCAAATTAGATAAAAAATTTTAATTACAAATCTGTAATCACTAATTAGTAATCATATTCATTATTATAATTTTAAAATGTGTGCAATTATCTATATTCAACACTCCCTCAAATGTTAATTTCTAAATTATTTGAGATGTCAATTATTAAAATCAGAAACACTTACATACTTATTTAATAAAAAACCCTAACTGCAAAATATAAAAAATTTTAAGAAATTTGATAAAATTTACTACAGCATTTAATATAATTATAATGAATGTGATTATAATTATAGTAAATTTATATTAAGTTAATAAAAACATCATAAAATTTTCAAAACTAAGAAAACATAATGCGGAAACGAAAGTGTAGTGAAATTAAAAAAAAAAATTTATGTAGGTACTTACTTACTTCGTAAAAATTATAATTAATAAATGCTGTGAAAGTAATAATCATTGCGTTAATGATCATCAAATTATCCCCTTTATTGTTTTATAAAAAAAAAAATTTTCATAATAAAATTAAAAGTAATTTACCATCCCATTTATAATTAGAGTTTTAAAAACATTCCATATAAATTTTTAATAAATATGATGGCGAAAAAGTAAAAATAGATTTGTATTTTGTATGTATGTATATGTGAAAATATATTATGCATAATATATCAATATATTTCTATTGTTATTAATGTTACATGATATTCAAACATACAAGTTTTTTGCTCAAATTTTAAGGAGTTACAAAAAATTTAATTACAATTAACGATGATTACATTTTGTTTTCTTTTTGAATTTTTTCTATTGTGAATCGATTTTGATTTGACTTTGATTTGAGTGAAGAGAAAATATTGTTGAATGCAAAGGTAAATAAATACAAACAAGTGTTAAGTAATCAAAATTGTTGCTATAATATGTACATATTATATAGGATCAAGTGAAGTATTAAAAATTAGAGTATATTACATAAGTACTTTATGTAATGTAGAATTTTTGGTTAAATTTTAGAGAATTTTTGAATTCCGATTTAATGTTTTAATTATTCAAATTTAATTTATTCAAAGTGATAAGATATTATATTTGATAAAATGCCGACATAAGTCTACAAAGACATTTTACAGGAGAATTTTTTATTTTTTCTTTGCATCTTTGATATGTATGTGGTCTATTTTTGAAAGAATACGATTTAATTACATTTATTGCAATTCTGAAATGAACATTTTTATCAAATTTGAAAAAAATTTAGGCAGGAATATTAGAACCTAGAGTTTTATCAGAAATATTTCTCGTGATTAGCTTTCAAAATTTATCACAGTTTCATTATGCTTAAAGTCGAGTTGAAAGGGGAGTATTATACAAATATGTAAGCGGAATATCAATATAAATAATATATAAATATTAAATCTGGATCAAAATTAGTCAAAATTAATATTAAAATTGATTTTCAGCTTGGACTTTTTTACAGACTTTTCAATCTTTAATTGAAATTTTTCGGATAAAACTTTTTTTTAAATCTTTTAAATATTTTCATTTCTTTGAGCTTTTAAATTCTTGAATTATGATAACATACACTTTTCGGGATAATATTAACAATTTTATAACAAAATTTAAATTTATAACATATTTAATGCTAAACATTTCCAAAATTAATTAATTAAAGTCCATAATATAAAAATATAGAATAACGAGTAAATAACTAAGTGAAACATGAATGAAATTCTTTTACTTTTATAAAACACAAGTATTGAAAACTAATATTAGTTTGAAATAAAGTTGGATCAAACTAATAGTTTGTAACATGGTCTGTTTGTGTATAAAATTTCAGCTTTCTGTCTCACAGGGAATGTAGAAGTTCGGACAGAATGAAACTAATAAGCACTTTTTTTTCAATTTTCGAAAATTTTTGTTTTTCTTTGCTTGAGAATAAATATGTATACATAAAATAAGTATTATGTGATATTACAGTAGCGAAAACATTTAATCTCATAGGTTAAAACGTCTTTGTCAAATAATTAATTAGTGTTTTAGAATACCTACAATAACATTCATACTCGATTGTCTCTAGAATTTCTTTGTTTTAAATTTATTTGTAAATTTAATTTGTTTGCTTATAATGTGAGTAACTTCGTAATTTTTTTAATACTCTAATTTCCATTTCCAACTTTGTTTCAAGTAGGTAATGTAAAAATCACAATTACATACATATATACGTACATTTGTATTTGACTATTATTGCGATATTTATAATGCTATTTTTAACATACAATGGATTATTTTACAAAGAGTGTTAGTTATGAAAAATTATTTTATATACGAGTATTGTTTTTCCAGTTACTTTGCTCACATTTTATCCTCTATATTTTTTGCTGTTGTTTTTTTGTTTTTAATTTTTGCATAACAACTATTTTGTTAGTAAACTCGTTAATAATTTAAAAGAAAAATATTAGGATACAACTAACTAATTGTTTCAAATGATAATATTTTTCAATGTCATTAATTTCTTGCACCAAGGTTGATTTTAATCTACATTATATGCAATGCAATATTTGTATGTGCATTCGTATGTAGGTATATTTATATGTACATACATATGTACATATATATGTAGATGCAAGAAACAAGAAACTTTCACTTGGAAAAACCAGTAAGTGAAAAACTTGAAATCAGATGAAAATGATACTAATTTTTTCCTTGCTTAAGTGCCGGTCTTATGCAAATTTTGCATTTGAATTATTGTATTTCATTTTATGGCTTTATAAATAATGTAATAATTTCTAAAACTTAAGCAAATGGATGCAGGTACTTATGCAATTATATATGTTCAATGTTTACATACATAATTCCATATATATAAAATAATAATCGGCACATACATATATACATGTACACATCCATAAAATATCTTCTCCTCAATAATATCTTTGTATGTACTTATATATATATGTACATATATACATATGTAAATTACTTATAATATATGGAATGACGAAACTTCTTAACAAAATTTTGATGATTAAATGTGTTATTCCGAAAAATGATGATGTCTTATGTGTTAACTTTTATCAAGAGTTTCACTTCAGTATTTTATTGCATTGTTTTATTAAATTAGTATAAACATTATAATGAGCATCATAATCCAAAATCTAATTAGGTTTTGTAAAATTTTCAGAAATCTACATACATACATATATTCAGAATGCCATTTCCTATACTCTTTATTTTGTCTCAATATTTGACAGGAAATAAAAATTTAAATTTGTTAGTTTTAATATATTATATACATTGTGTGGATACATGTGTGTACATGCATACATAATCACTATAGTTCTCAGGATACATAATTCTTATCTTTTGGAAACAAAACAAAAGTTCAAAATGAAACTGGTGATTATAAAATATAAGTTATTCTTTATTTCAGTATCATCTAAAAAAGTTAAAAGGAAGGAATTTCATCATCATCCGCCACCACCACCACTTCCACATCATTATGAAACTCCCCCATCTCCAAAAGGTGATAATTTTCCAAGTGATGCTATAGAATATCATGCATTCCATGGTAAAGTTATTTCTAAAAACGGCTACAGTGCTGGGACTGGATTGCGAGTAAAATTTTAAAACGATTCATTTAAAAGATTTATTTTACATAAAAGTTTTGTTTTAATTTATATCAGGTTATAGCACAAGGTTCTGCAGATCAAGCAAATACAGCAGTTGTTAACCAAGCAGCAGCCGCTAAACAAGCTGCTTATTTGGCTCAAAATACCTTAGCTCAAGCGGCAGCAGCTGCTGGTAAGTTAAAATTATGTATATAATTGGCTACAAAGGCTGTTTTTTTAAAAAAGTAAACACAATTCAAAGAATTTAGAAAACAGATATAAATTAATTTCTTTAAATAAACTTGTTTTATATTTGTTTGTTTTTTAGCAACAACTGCTCTTGCAGCGCTTCAGGGAAAAGAAGTTATTCTTCAGAAACTTGAACAACAATCAATTGAGGCTCACCAAGCTTTAGAAGGTGTGTTACGAAATAATTTTATTTGAAGACATAATATATGTACATATACATACATAACTACATACATACATATCTTATTACATGATATTTTAGGAGAAATTACTCAGTTACAACAAGCTAAAAGATCAGCCAAAACTGCACAACATGCTGCGCAACAATCTCTCAATCATGTTGCCGTCCTAACAGCAGCTTTAAATAATGCACAAGCAGCTGCTGAACATGTTAGTCAATTTTATTTAAAACCCTCTTTTAAAATAAATGACTATTTAAAATTTTTTTAATAGGCCCAAAAAGCTGCAGCGGAAGCTGCTGCAGAACTGGCTTCACAAACGTCAATGGTAAGAATCAAATATGTTAGTTTGCAGATTGTATTTTGGTAAAAAAAAATTTCAAATAGGTTGGTCAAGCAAAAACTAAACTAGAAGATGTTGAACAGCAACTACACAACGCAAGGCTTGATTATGAGGCAACTAGGGAAGCTGCCCAAAAAGCTAGCAATTCAGCACAGGAAGCTCAAGTAAATCTTTGAAGAGTTTTATAAAACCTCTTAAAACTTTTTAAATCTTCCAGAACAATGCAAATGAAGCTGCCCTTCATGCATCAATAGGACTTCATGAATCTGTCGTTGCAGTTAGTGGACACGAAAATGATTTTTCTCAAAATCATGATGTTGGGGATATTTCAAATGATCATAAATATAGTTTAGTAGGCTATTAAAAACATTAATATTTTTGATAAATTTAACTTACAAATTAAGTTATGAAATGAAAATCAAATTCAGTATTAAGTAGCGTATTATTGTTATATGTATTAAAATTAAATGATAAGTAGTTTTTGTTTAAAAATGTATTTCTAAATTGAAGAAATTTATTTAATTTATCGCTTAATTTAAAGAAATAAAAGAAAATTTGAGAAAATACGTATTTGAATTGAAAATGATTATTCAAAATTAGAAGTTTTTTGACACGCATCAGAATTACATACATGTCGTCATTAATTATTATTTATATTATTTATTAAACAAAAAATATATCTTAAAAATTAAATAATTCAAAGGGAAGTGGTTATTCAAACATTATTCTCGACTTGACAGTTCGTCGAATGTTATTTTCCAGTATTGCTTCATCATTTGAAGACAATTCATTGATATGCCTTTAGTAACGTTATGATTTAATTCCAAAGGATCCATTACGCAAACTGGTTTGTTTGTTAGAAACCCGTTTTCTTTAGGATCCATTAAGTAATAATTCTTATATCTAAAATTTTTCGGAATTTCAAAAATGGAAACTCTTTCAAAAACAATATTTTACTTTTTTTTACCTTGGAATGCTATCTAAGTCAACGCCGTGTAATTCCGCTTTTTCAACAGGTTTCCCCAAATATGGACACACAATTAAATTTTCAAAATTAAATTCAGCATAAAACTTGAAGAATTCTTTAATATATTTTAAACATATTTTGTTTGTATCGTCCACCTTTTCTATATTTAAATCATTTAAAGATTTTTCAATGAAATCTCCTTCCCAAGCTGAAATAAGAAATTAATAGTTGTTTGCTTATAAACTAAATTAAAATGTAATGATAATTACGCCCTATTTCTAAAGGTGTATTTATTCCATCCTGTAAAGTTTTTATGGAAGGAAGCATGTTCTTTGTTTGAAAAAAGTATACAGCCATTAGAACATAAGCATAGGTTGAAACTAAATCATTGAGGCTTGTTACTTTTATCCATTGTTTTAAAAATAAACAAAGTTTATGGCCTTAAAAATTTATGAAGATTGATTATAATTATCATTAACAAATTGTCAGTTATGTAGGTACACTTACATATTGGTTGCAGTTCAAAAATATATTTGATTAATAATGTGTTTAAATGGCCCAATCCATGTGAAAAACTTATATCGCAATCAATTCGAAATTGATCAGTCACATAAAAAGCTTTTAAAATTGGAACTCTTGCATTCTTCACTGAGTGAAAATTTCTCCACTCAATATTTTTACGTAACAAACTCTCTACGTTTTTTATTTTCTTACTTTCATTCGCATTTCTCTTATATGTGTGATATACTTTTCCGACATCTAAAAATACATCTAAATCAGAATTAGGGTTACTTAATCCATTAATTCTTGATCCAAAAAAATATATTTTTAAATCAGGAAACCCTGGTTTCAAAGCATCGAATAACCTTTTTTCAACAATTTCGTATTCAGGAATTTCCATTAGTTTTTTGCCCAATTGCACTGCCTTATCCAAAAATGCGCCTAAATCACTGGAGAGGAATGATTTAGCTCCTGCAAGAAAGTTACATTTTAATATCAACATTTATTTATAAGTAAACATCTGTTAACTTTTTGGAAGCTTTTCAATTTTTTTTATCCTTTCTTCTTTTTTTGCCTTTTTGTTTTTTTTTTTGACATTTTTTGGATCATTACTATCCACATCATACTCGGCCTGTGCATCTTTAACAATTGTTTTTATAGAATGGTTTTTGGCGTGCTCTAATATGTGCCTGGTTATATGGCGTGATCTATCACCAACTTCAACCTATTATAAAAATTTGTGAATCATTTCTTAAACGTAAATTTGAAGAATACCTGACACATATCACAAACATACATTTTCAGAATTGCATTTTTCTTTAAAATATCTATATCTATGTTTGTGCGCTCTTCCGTATGTTTATTTACAGGATTCCCATCAATAAATTTTGTTATCTGAAAAGACAATGCAACTCTAGTTCTTGATAAAAATATAAAATTATCTTTCAATTGTGAAGTAGGTAATTATATTTTTAAATATTGAAATTCATAACTTTATAATTACCTCTTCATAAAGCGACTGTAAGTTATTAAGCAAATTAATGTCCGTTATATTATATTCTTTTCTGAAAGTTGAAAATTTATCCAAAAACACTTTTATTTCCAAATTCAAATCAGTTATCTGAAAAATTTAGTCTTAAGTAATAATTTTAAATAGATAAGCTTTTATTGATAAAAATGTTCACCAAATTTGCCGCCCTATTCTCGTCAATATCTGCCACTTTGGCTACTTCCATTTTTAAAAGTTTGTTATATTAAAAGGGAAAAAACTGAACTCAATATTTTTTGTTTGCAAAAATTACCAGTTGATTTATACAAGTTCTTTCAACTACAAAATAAAATATATGTATTATAATATATACATATATAGGACTGTTTCGAAATTTTTTTTGACATTTTATTGACATATTACATAATTAGTTTTGGAAGCTCTGGAACTTTGGAAGCGAATTATAATTTGAAAGCATTTTACTATGCGTTTACATGTATATGTTTCTAGCAAGAAAACTACACCCACACAAAAATGCTGCCAGTTTTATTAATCCTTATAAAAGTTTTATTAATCCATTGCTCCGCTCCACCAATTTCACAACTCAAGAAAGTTTTGCTACCAGTGTTTTAGGAAATAGTTTGACATTTTTAACAAGTTGACAGCAAAGAAACAAAATATTTTTAAAAATTTTATAGGAAAATTAAAAAAGCTGTACTGTCAAAATATTTTATAAAAAAATCTAAACATCTATCTAATTTTAGCTTGTGATTTGGTATTTCCACGAACTAAATGAAAAAATTAATATTACACAAATTTGCTTTTTAGTAACGTGTCTATTTAACGCTTGGTTAATTACCCATTGAACAAAGAGTGGCATACAGTTCGTCCAAAAAGGGCATACACCAAAGTGCACAAAAATGTACATTTTGCACTGTAAAAATGCCTCTCACAACCATTAAATGTGGAGTGTGCACATTCCAAGAGTAGAGACCTCTTTCAAAAATAAGGCCATTTTCATACAAAAAAAAACAACACTCATGACTTTTCAACAAAATAAGTCCTTAATATTCCAATTCTCTCATTTTTTCCCCTTTCCTGTTATTAAATTAGAAAATGGAATAAAAAAATTAATAACCCAAATAAAACGAGTAATAAAACATAAGACAAAGTAAGAGAAAAAAAATTGGCATACTGAGATAAAAAAATGGTTATTTTCAAATGTAAAGTAAGTATGTATACAATATATTCTTTCCTATTGTAATGTTAGTGTAATGTGTATGTATATTTGATGTGTAAAAAAAATGAAAATTTCTTTTTTTCTTAATGTTAATTATAAATTACAGATAACTGGCATGAATTGTAAATCTGGTAGGTATACTTTTTGGTAAGTCTGGTATATTATGTACATATTTTATGAAACTTACCCTGTATAGTATAATTATAACAATAAACATATTTGAAGGGGTTAGAAGAAGAAGGAGTTAAGTAACATTTTCAATATTTTGAGAAAAACGCATTTTTATATTCTGATTTTAATACTTTCAAATTTTTGAGAATGTTACGGCAAAATTGGAATCCCTTCTTACACCAATAAAATTTTCAATAAACAAACTATTGAATAATTAAAAAGCGTTAATTGAATTTTTGTTTCATTTTTATTTTATTTTTTTGTATTATTCTTTCAACTATTAAAAAAATAAAAAACAAAATTTAATTTAGAAAATAAGAACAAAAAAAGTTTGTCATATTTGTTCATAATAAAACTAACAAACTTAATAAAATATGTAATTTTATTTTAAATTAACTTAAAAAGATAAAAGTAATATAGGTTTTCAAATACTCTATATTCATTTATACTAGGTATTAAAATATTAAATATGTATAATATCAATACATAATATTTGTTAAATTACTAAATAAAGCACTTTTTCAATTCAGATATAATATCTACCTGTGCATGTGGGTACTGAAATTAATAAACAAAAACAAAAATATGAAATAATTTTCTCTTAATTCGTTAATATTATCAAATATCCCAATAGTATTGTTTGTGAATGAAAGTGTCAAATGCGCACTTAACCCCTTTATGAGATAAAAATTTTTCTCATTTTATTTGAAAAAATTTATATTGTACGAGTATTTTAAGTGATCTTAACGCATTCATTTAATAAGCAAAAGATTAAAATGTGTACTTAACTCTTTTTTTTATTGTCTAAATACCGTAAAACTTGATATTTCGAAAAAAGGACTTATATATACATATACTCACATATTTATGTATGCATCTATACGTACTTTATGTAGGTAAAGTAAAAATTAACTTAATGATTTATTTCTAAATTAAATCTATTTGTTCTATTGCAAAATTTTTTAAGTTTTCAGCTTTTGGAATACAAGACGAAGTCCTTACGTCATATCGGAAACCTTCAAAACAAATGCATCTGTTTGGCGTAACACATATACCATTTTCACATTTCCTAAAATTTTTTTGATTATTTTGTAGTTTTGAAACATTATAAGATACACATAATTATATAATTATATAAAACATACTGATAACATTCAGCTTGGCAAATTCCATTTTTTAAAATGGCACCATTATGACATCTACATGTATTTGGTCTGTCGCAAGTTCCGTTAATCCCGCAGCTTCTCTCGCATATTGGTTCACATCCATGTCTGTTAACTTGATATCCTTTTATACAAGAGCATGTCTGTGAAAAGAGTAGCTTATTTGTGTTTACCTTATTTGTATGTACCTATTTGTGTATAAACATATGTATGTATTTTGTATATTGGGTATGAAAATGTAATATGAATCTACTTAATATAATATTAGGTACTTATTATAAAATTGTTTAGAGCCTCATTATATTTCACTTTTTTTGGTTTCCGGAGAGAAGAAATTTGGTGAGTAGATATCAGATCTTTTTCAAAAAAAAGTTTTGTGTTTGTAATTTATTCAAAAAATGGAAATTTAAATTTTTTGAAGAAATTTGAAATTTTTTTTATGTACATATTTTAAAAAAATATACTTTTTGTTTTTCAATTTGGCAAGTTCAATTGATATTGAATACGGAAATCCATGCATAAGTAAGTATTATGTGTGTATGTTTGTATATTGAGAAAATAAATGAAAACTATAAGTAATTTTAAGATATGTACTATAATAATATGTACATATACATATATAATGTATTTATACATACATACATATTCTAAACTCTTATGATGGAATAGAATATACATACATATGTACATATGTAACTCATTTGGACGGCATTCTCGTCTAATAGTTTTATTAGCGGCAGCGACAATAGTAATACTGGAATTTAGACACTCCTTTTGAAAACCCATTATTTATAATATCATAATAAATTATGTACATACATACGTTTGTACAAGGTACGAAAGTTATAAATTTGAACATTCATATTATACACAAAAATATTACGTTTGGAGCACTGCAATACTGATTATAAGCGGCTTCACAGTTATTATTTCGATTACAAATTGGTTTACAGAACGTTTGACTTTCATCTAACTTGTAACCGCGATTGCACTTGCAAGTACCATCCAATTTACAATGACCTTTAAATAGTAACTATGTAAGAACAAATTTTATATGTGTGTTTGCATGTGTACAACAAGTTAATCGGAGTGTTGTAATTCAAATATTGTGCATATTTTCAATATATTTTTACCATTTTCACAATGAACTGGACATTTCATAACGCATTTGCCTTCATGATTTTTTACATAGTTCGGAAAACATTCACATGTATCTGGATTTAAGCATAATCCATGTTCACATTCTCCACAATCTGGAACACATTTATCCCAATCATATTTTGAACGCTTGTATCCATCACAACAAACTTCAATTTTTGAATAGTATTTTTTGCTTCCTTCTGTTATATTTGTGTATTTCTTATCATATTCCAAGTATATAGTCCTGAAAAATTCGATAAGTAAAATTTAAAGTAAACTACCAGAATGAATGAAACAAGTAAGCCATTGAACAAAAACAATTTAAGTAACAACAATCACATACAAGAGACCGAACTATTGAATAAAACAATTATGTTAATAATATAGCTTTTGGAGAAGCATTGATATGAACGAATCGTTGCTTTGTAAATAAAGTTTCAATATTTTACAACTGTACAACGGTAAATAAGGATATTCTGATCATGTAAAAGAAAAATTTCTAGCAAATGCATATTATATATGTACGTGTGTATGTATGCATAACAGTTTTTGAGAAACTTCAGTAGTAAAATTTACACAGTTGTTTATTACATAAATACATGTAGGTACATAATATGTTTACAAATTTTTTAAAATCAGAACAAAACAAGTAATATTTTGCATACAACCGGGGTGCATTAATTCTCTTCTTGGAACCAAATTAAAGTTAAATTCAGTTAACTCATTATTAATTGATAATAAATTTTTTGAAAAAAAAATAAGGGATATATACAATGGTCTGTCTGGTATAAGAAAATTTTTAAAAACTTTTAAAATCATGTTTTACAAATTCTTTCAGCATAAGTAATTACAAATTCCTCAGGAATGGCGAAATTAGAAAAATAGAAAAAGATTAAATTAAAAATGAAAGTTAAAGAACTTTTTCAACAAGTTACAACTTATTTATTTTTAACTTTTGTGGTCTTCAAATTTTAATTTATTCATTTTTCATTATTTTATTCAGTTATTCGAAAACTATGGAGGTTTTCGTTTATGCACGTTGCGCTAAAAGTTCTACATTAAAACTAAAATTTCTAAGGCGCAGCGTAAAACAGTATGCAAGAACTTTAGCTAAGTTTTTTTATTTAAGCCGTCTACAAATTCTAGAACTTTTAAATAATCAGTCGTTCAAAAATAACAGAAATGGCATTGTTTATAAAATTGTATCCCAATACTTTTCGCCTTCCAATTCACTGCAAAATTGGGAAATTTCAACAAGATTTGAAGACTTAAAGAAAACTTACTTTAATAACCCTTCAATATATGAATCTGCCATTTTGAAATATAAAATTTATTTTGAATTTAAAAAGAAAGAGAAATTTCATAAGTCAGCGACAAAATTTATACTAGAGGTCTGCGCTACATTTCTAACATTTCTTTATTGCAAATTGAATTTTCGAACAAACTTTATTGCAGCCAGTAATTTCCGAATGGTTTATTTTTTTAAGTGTATGTAGCGTGAATTTTCGAACGTACTATTAGAACTATTCTACCCCCTATACTCATAATGAATTTCTATTTGCACTAAAACATTTCTCTTGTCTCGGCGATATGATTACATACATTATGTATGTATTTCTAACTTTATCAAAATTTTAATTTCTTTTGAAGAGATTGGCATGTTTTTTATATTGGTGACATAAAACATTTTCTACTTTAAATCATCCTTAAATTTTCATTTTTACATTATTTTTTTGAAGTTTATAATGTTTTCATAATTAACATTTTGTTTTTGATAACATAGCAATTATTTCAGAAAAATAAAGTTAAATCAGACGTCAAATTTGACTTTAATGAGAATAAGAATTTCAAAATTTATTGAGACAAAAATTTTTATTAAATCCCAATCATACGTGAATGAATTCAATTATGTATTTTACAAATTTCAATTGAAAATATCTTTTCTTCTTTTAGTTTGTATATTTGCACAGCTACACACATTCATACATATGAGTTTTAATTAGATTTTTGGTTGGTAAAAATAAATTATAGTTAGCGGATTTTTTTATGCTCATTTTTATATCCTTGATGTTGATACTTAATAAAAACTTTATAAATTTTTTTTATTATTAAATTTCTTACGGGACTTCTCTCAAACACTTATGCTCTAAATCCTCTTGATTGTTGTTATTATCCAAATTATTATTATTATAATTGTTATTCACAATTCTGCCCCAGTTAAAATGAACACATTCAAAAATAATTATTATTAATAATACACGACTTAAGAGCATTATTATTTTGGTAAAATTTTAGAAATTAAAGAAATTAACTGTTTGATAAGAAAATTTTAAAATTAAAAGTGGAAAATTTTGTCTTATTTTTCAATGTTTCTCACTCAAATTCGAATTAAAACTGATCTTTGAAAGAATTTAAAAAAAAATAATATAGTAAAAATTGTAATTAACAAAAAAGTTCATTCATTAAACTATTTAATTTTGTTCTAAAATTAAAAAAAAAAATGTAAAAATAAAAATAAAGCTTTCTTATCTATACGAATAGGCTTGCCATGCATAAGCCCGACTTGTAAAACGATTTAACGCAATTAACAAAATTTTTTTAAGTGATTAACGTAACAAATTATCATTTTTATTTGAATTGGCTAAAGCGCTATATATAATGTATCTATACATTTTGTATACATATGAATACATTATGTATGTTATGTGTACGGTATATGTATATGTTATATGTATATTTAATCACATTGTGTATATAATTTGTAGTGCATTGTGTAATTGTGTACACATATAATTTATAGACAAGTTTGGTCACAACCCCTTTTTTTGAGCTGTTTTAAATTTAAACTTAATACTCACTAGCACCCCTCAAAAAGTGGTTGGTTGCGCAATACAAAAACTGTCTTCTGTTTATCACTATAAACTGTAAACACAATGATTCTACCAAATTTTTCTATTTTAATAACAATTTATATTATTTAATTATAAATTCAAGTTTTAAGGCGATAACAATCTGTATGAACTCCTAAATTTGACCTTAGTGCTATTTATTATTTTATCCTAAAAAAAATTACTGAATTATAAATATCTAATTATTCTTTAGGTAAATCTTCAAATTTACTTAATACCAAGCGAATAATAAAATAAAAATTAGGCGGTCCATTTGTTGCGTCTTCATAATGGAAGAATTTTTATTTTCATACTTTAAAAAACACATTAGTTAACCTTTTCAAAATGTTTATGTTGCATTCTAAAGTTCACTAATCCACTCATTCAATTATATATGTATGTAGCTAAAAATTTTATTATTATTATAAAAGACAAAACTCAAAAGTTCACAAGTGTGGTCAGATTTGTTTTTTGAAAATTCCCGCATAATACCGTAATTTTCCTACTTTTCCCTTTTTTTAAGGCATTTTGGAAAAAATTACCATTAATAATAAAATTTATATACAAATAAGTAAACAAAATAAAAATTTAATTGAGTAAAATATTTTATATTTAAAAAAAAAAGGAAAAAATCAAATTAACTTTCCTTAAGTAAACAAAATTAAAAATGTATGAATAACTCCAAAATATAATTTTAATAGATACCTATTTTATATGAATCGATTTCTTTCAAATCTAAATTTTTGAATTTACTTAACTTTTTTATAATATGTATTCCAAAAAATAGTCACAGTTTAAATTTTTTTTTAAATATTTTGAATTCTGGCAATCTGCGAAAAATTTTGTGTTTATCCAATTTTTTGACTTCATTTATTTTTACTGAACGCATTTTTTAGCAGAAATTTTTGTTAAGTAGAATATCGATATTCATAAAAACTTCCAAGCTAAATTGGCACCTTGTTGTAAAATAATACTGTTGGTTATAAATTTTCATTAATTTTTTGAATTTTTTATATAAACATATAAATATATATTTATTCATATAAAACACTGAGTTTCAAAATAAAAGAAATAACATGGTGAAAATTTCCACGATTTTTTTTCTTTTTTCCTTTCATATCGTAAAATTCCCCAAAAAAAGATTTCCTGTCGCTGCTATACATACATCTGACAATACTGTTATACGCACAATTTGTTATTATTTTTATTATCCCCTCTATTATGTATATCGGTATCGGCCGATAAACGATAATTTATCGGCAAAATTTTGTGTTTGTATTACCAACATTGTTTATCGGTAAATTTTATCGGAGTCGGGAAAGCTTTTTTTCCTGTATAGGAAACATATTAGCTGGTATTATGAAAACGATAAATTGTCGGATTTTCACCGATTTAAAAGCGGGTACAAATTTTTAGACGACAGATTTTTTTTTTTGTAAAATCTTCATTTTATCAAGGAAACTGGTGTAATTAATTGCTTTTTTAAAATGTAAGCATTTTTTCTAAATTATTTTCTTTCAAAATGTTATTCATATATTTTATTTAGGAGTAAAATCGTAAGCAACAAAAAACAAATTGCGCGGTTAGTAGAAAAAATGGAAGAGGACTTAAACCTGGCAAGGAATGATAATCTGAAATTCTGGATAAACCTAAAAAATGTGTACATATTATATAAATAATAAAATAAAATAGGTACATAAACATACATTTTGTTGTCTAAATCCAATGGATTAGTTGAATCTCTTATATGTCGTCTTTGAATAGCTTGCGTTTCTTCACTTACTACCGTTTCTTCACTTTCAAAATATAATGCACGCGACATTTTCCCGATATATGTATATTTTTATTTTACAAATTTAACAGAAAATAATTTGCTTACAACAACTTTTTAGCACATCAAAACCAAATTCAAAATAGTTTTAAAAATTTTTTGAAAATAACTTTTGAAAGAAAACAAATGTCATTAGAAAAAAAAAACTTTTTCTCCAATTTACAAAAACAAAAATTTGTATGAAAAAGCTTCTTTTAATCGGTTGAAATATTTTTATCGGTATCGGTTCATAATACAGAAGAAACTTAAAACCGATTAGAACTGCCGATAAAATATCGGCCGATACCGATGTTCATAATAGAGGGGTATGAAACTTTTTTAAGTAAATGCATACATATGTATGTACATAAATCATGTAATAATTATTAAATTAATTGTGTTGTTATGTTCTTAGCTTTTATTTTAATTTGACATTATTCAGCAAAATATTATTACACTACTTTTAGAAATAAAATTTTAAAGAAAACTTACAAAATTAGTTATGAAATCAAAAGGGTAGAATAATAATTTTTTAATATGGGCAAAATTTCATGCATGTAAAATATTTTTCATTTTTATTTTGAAATTTTCGGATGTATGTATGTATGTTTTATGCACGTTCGTATATTTATTTAAGGTTAGTGTTGTAACTATTACTGTTTACTATGGAATTTGTTGAATTTTTTGGGCAATTTTCAATTTCATTAATTAATTTATTATATATGTTAGCTAAAACATTATTTAATTGGCAAACAGTGCCACCGCCTCTTATCAATTGATGTTCTTGACGATTTATATCACCAACACATATCCATGGATTACCATCAGAAACTGCCCATTTCGAATGATCTAATGTTGTTTTAAACTTTATATTAAATGCATTTAGCGAAATTGATTTTATATTATAAACATATGTTGGCTTTTTGCAATCACTTGGTAAATTTCCTTCACCTAATCGCCAAGATTCTACCATTAAATTAACATTCAATTGAGGTGCAACTAAATCTTCATATAATTCTTGTTCAAATTTTCTTCCTTTAGCAAATGAACGAAATTTAGTTCCACCCGTCGAAATTATTTCAGCTTCATTAAAATATGGTCCAGGACCTTGCGATTTCCATGATTTTTGCAATACTTTTTCAATATTTGGAAAATTATTTTTGTAAGTATTTGGTATTTTTTCATAATAAATATTTGGTTCATTATATAAAAATTGTTCTCCAACAATATTGATTTGATTAGGTGGTAAAGTTATACATAAAAAACTCTGACCATAATGTAAACCATTTTTAGGATATTCATATTTTGTTATGTTAGGGTATTTAGGTACAGAATGTATTAACCAAAATCCTGATTGATTATTTGCAGCTAAGACACCTTTCGTATGACCTTCAATGAAATTCACCGTACCATTAGGATTTTCATCATTATAAAACAACGTCATCAAGTCATTTTGATCATCGTATATTGGTGCCAGTGTTTGACCAGGAAAACTTTTGCTTTCATTAATAAAAGTGGTTGAAAAATGCCACTTTTCATCGTTATCTGATGATATAAAAATATATCGTAACCCTGTTTTGTCTGAAGAAATTTCATTGGAAGCTAGCTCTGATTCGTAATTTTTCGGTAACTTATAAAGATAATACCAATCTATAGGTCTTCCTTTTTCATCCCTACATGTAAGTTTATCTCCAAAAACTATTTTAAGAATAATAAACAAGAAGAATAAATTCATAGTGAATCACAATATTTTTTTTTTCTGTTTTTAAGCTGCGCAGCTGTGAATTAATGTGTTTGCTGATTTTATAAAACTGAACTAAATGTTGAGTAAGAGAAAAAATATAAGCAACAATAATGTGATTGGTTTCGTATTTTGTAGTTCCCCTTAGTATTAATATCTGTAGTTTATATACCAAAATGCAATACATAAGATTACGTTACTGTATAAATCCGAAGTATTTCGTAAATTATATAATAACATGTACATACATATGTAAATAAAATTTACGAATTAGCTGATTATTATTATGGTTATAATTTCCGTAGCAAAATTATTAAATTTAGTCTGAGATTCGTCAGATAATTTTAGTAAACAGTCATTAGACTTTGTAGTAGATTTTAATCTTAGAATTTGACGTACACAGTACAAAACGTGATACACAATTTTAGTTGCAAAGCAAAAAATGACAGATGATTGAAAACAGAACAAAAGCGATTTTCTACGGCCAGTAGAAAATTCATATGGAACACACATATTTAAATGGAGCTGCACTAAACAAGCAAAGTTACCGCTGCGTATTGAACCACGGGCGATTTCTTATTTTACCTCTGGCAATTTTTTTTTATTATTCAAATTTCATTTCAAAATATTGCACAGTTAATTTTTCCGTTTCGTTCTTGATCTGGGTTAATAACGGAAATCGTCCGCTGTTGCCGTTCATAGCTTTGGTTATGTTTTTACAATTAACTGGTTTAAATAAATATTCCATGGTTACTTAACAGAAGTGTTTACTGGTATTTTGAAAACAATTATATCAAGCGAAATGTCAAAATAAATAAAAATATAATTTGACTTATGTATTTGTCAACGCCGTATCTTCGGTTTTAATTCGATTTCTTTTATGCTCCTTATTTTCATACTTTCCATATGTATAATAATCCTTTGACTTGGTATGTTTATTTTTGTTTTTTTAATATTAATCTAAACGTATTATTACAACACCAAAATAACTTTTTTTTGTACGAGGGTACAGAAATACATACATATGTATATTATTGTATATGTGTGGTTAATGTTGGGTGTTTTTGAGTTAAATTTCTTGAATAAAAACGCTTTATATTTACAAATTTTTTTAAGCATCAGGAAGACAAAATTACTAAGTTAGATTTTTTAAAAAACAAAAATTTAGGGCTATTAGGAAACCTAAAAAGACGATAAAAATTTGCGTTTTGGCATACAAAACATTGAAAATCTTTTTTCTATTTTAAACACATTCAAAATATGTACATATTAATTCTTCACTTCATTGCGTTCAATAACCAAAACCAACAGGTTTGTTATTGTATTAATACTATAATAATATTATAAATATGTAAAACTGAATTGAAAACAGCTGCAGTAATATAAATATATATTTAGACATCTAAAATATACTCTCCAAAAATAGCGGCTGATTTGTTTTTCATGTTTTTATTTATGTCAATTTACATGTATTTGTTTCTTTGAAGTTGTCAAAGAATTATTTACTCAAATAATTTTTTTATTCTCCAGGCAGGGATTTAAACAAATAACATTATTTATAACAAATAACATCAATAACTTAATACCATTAATCTATTTAACAAATAACATTATTTTAAAATTCGGCGAAAATATTTTTGCATGTTGATTCCGAATTCAACGCTTCGAATAGGCGTCCTAAAATGTGATTGTGCACGTTCATATTAATGCGAGCTTACTGTATTTGCTTAATGAAAATGGGTAATACTCGTACCATAAAAAATATAACAGGCAAAAATTGTATTTTTTTTTTTTTAATTCATAATGTAGATACTCATACCCTAACTAAGTATATGTACATATGTATGTATATTTTTGGTTGTAATATGTATGTACATACGATGTTTCTGTTTTGAAGTACATTTCGAAAATTGTTAAACTTTTACTTGTATTGTACATGTATAAATCTAGGAGGATATTAAAGGATAAAATAGAATAAATATTAAAACTTACGTTGTCGACTAATCCCGCACATAATAAAACTTTATTGCTATAACTTAATTGCTATATTTGGTGCTTTACGACGTTATTTGAAAATTATGAGCATTATTAATTGGATGGGATTTAGCCAAATTTTATTTACATTAAAATCAAATATTTTTTCCATAATTAGCCAGGATCTTATAACTTCGAATTTGAACTTAAAACAATTTTTTTAATTTGAGAGATAACTAATTGTACATATACATATGTATGTATATATTTTGCATATATTTTTGTCAAAGCAAACTTTAAATAATTTGAGACGTCTAACTTTTAGGTTTCTTTAATAAAAAACCATAATTTCCGGTAACGAAAATAATTTCGGATTATGTCACATCAAGTTTAAATGTCCATGCTTTCTATATCGATGCTCCTCAACAATCTTTCTTCTGGTATACAGGAAGTAGTTTTTTGATCATATGTATAGCCGTCAAAACAAATGCAACGATTGGGTGAAACACATATTCCGTTTTCACATTTTCTAAAAATACACAAAAATTTCATTTTAAACTTAATTATTAAAGCAATACCTTCAAAATTGTTGAAAGAATTTTCTAATTAAATTATTAAATAATTTAAAAAAAAGGAAAAAGGTTTTTAGTAAAATTGGGGCTTATTAAAATTACGAAAACTATTTCAATGATGCTCTTCTGAAAAATGGCCCCACTTTTGACTTCAAGCATATAAAATCTCTGATTTATAATTAAGAACTAAGAATTAACGATTTTAGGAAATTTTATTGAATTTATGTTTTAAAATTCGTTTCAACAATGCAAGTTCGCAAGACATCCAAATTTCAAGTAAGTTTAGTCTTAGTTTACGACTCTTATGATATCGTAAGAATCAAAAACAGAGAAATTTAAGCTAACCATCTAAGTAATAGTTATTAGCTTATTTCTGCCATTATCAATAATATGATGGCATATATCGAACAGCTCAAAGAATTCACTGATTAATCTCAAAAGGGCATTTCCCAGAACATTTCCTTCCTGAATAAATACGATTATATTGATGTCAAATCTGTGAATACTATGATTTAAATGTAGTATGGTCATTCGAGATATAAGCAGTTACTCTACAAAAGCGTATGTATGTAGGTACCTAATCATACATTATAATCAACAGCTCTAAAAAGAACAATAATAAGAACTGTCTGCTTTATTAAATTTATTTTACTTACTGGTAACATGGGGCTTGACATATACCGTTCTTTAAAATAGCACCACTGTGACATCTGCAGACATTTGGACTTTCACATGTTCCGTTAACACCACAATTATTTTTGCAAATAGGTTCACATCGATATCTAGCAATTTGATAACCTTTTTTACAGGAACATATCTGTATTAAATGATTTTTTTGATAATTAGAGTTTAATATGTATGTATGTCCGTATGTTCTTTTAAATAAGATATCTATATATACTATTATTTTCATTTGAACATTTAATTACATTGGGAGCACTGCAATATTGATAATAATTCGATTCACAATCGTTGCGTTTGTCACAAAAAGGCCGACAAAATTTTTCACTTTCATCTAAAACATAACCAGGATTGCATTTGCATGTTCCATCAGCTTTGCACTGACCTAAAATTTAAGATTAATTGTTTAAGATAAGATTTATGTAGTAGTTGCGTAAAGTTTGCATGAAGAATTTACAAATTAAAAAAAAAATATTTTCTAAAATATAGAACTTTGCAGTTAAATATCAAGCTAAAAGTTTACCGGATGTATAATTAAAAAATTAATTTGTGGAAACCTAAAATTATACTTCCGGTTGAGTCCGGAGATGGATTAAAAAAACTTGTATATTATGTTTAACTTCTTATATTATACTTAACTTTAACGTTTTAGTATTATCATTAAATGTTATTACCATTATTACAATCAACAGGGCACGTTAAAACACATTGATCTTCATGATTTTTAACATAATTCGGAAAACATTTACAGTATCCTGGCTCTAAGCAAACTCCATGATCACAATTTGTACAATCTGGGACACATTTGTTCCAATCGTATTTTGAACGTTTATAACCATCGCAGCATACTTCAATTTTATTATAAACAAATTTTCTTGATTTACCCTCTGATATTATTGTATAATTCCGATCATATTCTAAGTAAGTTTTTCTACAAAAAAAAAAAAAAACAAACATACATATGTAAAATATTTGCTTTTAAAGTTTTATAAGAAACGCCAACCAATTTAAAATTTTCTAATTTAATTTTTGTATTTAGGAATTAAAATGAAATAAAAGACTTCCTGTGCTTGTAATTTAATTACATAATATACGCATGTATATATACATAGTTGAAAAAATATTGTAACTATAAAAAAAAAATTTTAAAATAATAAAAAACTTACAGCACTTCTCTTACACATTTATGCTCTAGATCTTCTAATGTATTATAACTTTGTTTATTTTTGATGTTTTTATTTTTATTATTTGTGGTGTTGTTATCAACAATAATTCTTGAACAAGTTGATTCTATATAGTTTACTAATAGTATAAATTTAATAATTAACCAAAGAAGAATCATACTTAATTGTTCAAAAGAAAACTGAATATGCACTCTAAAAATTATTAAATAGAAAAAATATTAAAATTTCTTTCAATTTTAATATTTTTAATTTATTATAAATTAATTGGTATTGCGCCCACAATCCATTGATGATTAACTAAAATTGAATTCGAATTTGATTATTAGTGCTCTTGTTATTTGTTTGTTTGAGAGAAAATTTAATTAGAAAAAAGCTCTCTTATCTTATAAAAATATATTGCGAAACGCTTGCTTTAAATCATAATAAAAAAATTTAATATTTAATTAAAATAAAAATAAAATTCAGTAATCAAGTAAGGTTCGAGGCTGAATTCATTTAAGAAAACTTTTAAATGCAAAGATGCATGTTTATTTTTATGTAAGCATGTAGGTAGGCATGTGATTCTGCCTTTACATAAATATTGAGTATAAAATAATTTTTTCGAAATTTCGCAAGAATGTTGTCACTCATATCCTATGACATACACATATCTATTCAAAGTTTTCAATAACATTTTACTATATATTTTATTGAATTTGAATTAAAATAGATTTTGTATTGTGTATTAGCTTTTTGAAAAAAATCTTCCCATAACCAATGTAATTCCATTTACATAATGTGAAAATGCAGTGTTATTCAAGTGTTAAGAAGAAAACTTAAGGTCATTAGAAGAAGTCATTGAATTTCAAAATATATTAAATAATTTATTTAGTAAAAAGTTAAAGAAATTACATATTTTGTGTTCTGCAAAAATTTGTCATTTAGAAGTTTAAAATGCATAATAATTCTCTAATAATTATGTAATTTAACTAACAACTTGTTTAAAATACGAATTCATCCCTCAATCTCTTAAAAAATTTTGAAACATGTGTAATATACACTATAACATAACAATTGTTTGTAGAAATTTCTTTTTCTTCTTTGAAGATCAATTTTTTTACTTCTTATTTTTCCTTTTTAGAAGTACTATGTATTTTAGGATGGAACAATTTTATAATCTTCATTGTGTTAAAATAAAGATTTTATTTGAATAATCTTAAATTTATATTTTATGATGTTCTTTGCAATAAATCATCAAGAGGTTGAAAGAAAATCCTTAAAAGTTCTTTAGCTTGCGATTGCAATATTATTGCAATATAAAAAGCAATTTGTTGAGGTATAAGACATCATAAAGCTTACATATTTGAATTAAGTTTGAAAAACTTCTAATATGATTGAAAAAAACTTTTTATTGTACTAAAAAATGGAACGATAAGACTATAAAGATCTATATTGATACTTGGAATTAATTACCAAATATTTGCTATTTCAGCGCTCCCATAACAGAATTCCAACAAAATAATGCTATAATCATACATTAATAAGGAAATCATAAAATTTCAAAAGAATTGGTTCACGTGAAGTGGGACAAACAAAGATTTGAAGTTAAAATAGGTATGGTAAAAAATGTCCAAGACCGCTTTTTTTGTGTTATAACAAAGAACAAAGATCATATTAGCATCAGGAAACCATCACAATTTCACACGCTGTCAAATTGTATGATGTCGAATACAAAGTAATTACGTATCAATAAAAAATAATTTTACTTCTTTTCTTTTTAATAATTATAACCATGTTTACTTTCGGAGACATGAAAAGAAAAAAGTAATATTAATTAACTATTTTCGGCACATGTGTAACTCTTAATACGATGTAAAATAGTAAAATTGTAGAATTTAAAGCTCTTACTGTTTTTCAAGTTCTTTATAATTGTAACAATATAAATGTAAACAGCTGTTTATCAAATCCAATTCAATGATTTAATTTAAAATTTTTAATTATATTTATTTTCTTTGTTTTTAAATAAGCTTTATTTCATCCAAAAGAATTTTCATTTTAAGTTATCAACAACAATAATAGTCAATTCAAAAGCAATCGCTTCTTATAAAGCTTCCAAATATCGGCAAATTTTCGGTGCGAGTTCTTACAAAATATAAAAGAATTTCAACTCTTCCAAACAAGATCGACCATTTTTTTAAATTTTGGATTTTTAAACCAGTATGGAAGGCATTATTTTTTACAATGATAAATTGGATTTAAATGACATAGTAAATAGCGAGGAGTACAAGAATTCGGATGAATCACTGATGATTTGCGATATAACGGAAATGTCAAAAAAATATAATCAATGGGTTCAATTTATGCCAAGTGTAAAACCATTCTATGCTGTAAAGTGTAATGATAATATAATGGTATTAAAAGTTTTAAATTCACTTGGGGTTAATTTTGATTGTGCATCAAAAAATGAGATAGAGAAAGTTTTGAGTATTGATGTTGCACCTGATCGCATTATTTTTGCTCATCCAACTAAATTATTGGGTCACATAAATTATGCTAAATTGAATGGTGTAAAAATAATGACATTTGATACAGATTTTGAATTGTTCAAAATTAAAGAACATTATCCAGACGCCAATCTTTTATTAAGAATTCGTTGTGAAGCAAAATTGGCATTAGGACCATTGGGCGCGAAATTTGGATGTGAACCAATATTGATAGCACCAAAACTTTTAGAACTGGGAAAAAAATTAAATTTAAATATTAAAGGAATATCATTTCATGTTGGTTCCAATTGTTTGGATCATGAAGCATACAATGAAGCAATATACAGAGCACGTCAACTATTTGATATTGGAAAGGAATTGGGATTAACAAATATGGATTTACTAGATATTGGTGGTGGTTTTCCTGGTTCTAATGATAGTGGATTCAAACAAATTAGTGACGTAGTAAATATGGCATTAAATAAATATTTTTCTGATATAAATGTGCATTTCATTGCTGAGCCAGGACGTTTTTTTGTGACAACAGCTTTTCAATTATTATGTAAAATACATTCAAAACGTGAAATCAGAATCAACAACAATATTGAAAAGATAATGTACTATATAAACGATGGATTTTATTGTTCATTAAATGTTGTTAAATATGACAAATACAAACCAATACCAAAAATTATTAAATATCAATCGAATACAAAATGTGCTATTGACGAAACTAATTTAGATAAGGAAATGAAGGAAACGACAGCCACTACATTTGTAAAACTATATAAAAGTTGTATATGGGGTCCTACTCTTGATTCTTTGGATCTTGTGTATGACGATATTTATTTACCATATTTATCTATTAATGACTCGTTAATATTTGATAATATGGGTGCATATTCATTAGTATCGGTAAGTGGGTTTAACGGTTTTATGCCGCCAAAATTCAAATATTATCTCAATCGTCAGTATAATGTTAAATATGTTACTGAAATAGAAGGTATGTGAATCACACTATTACAGCATATGTATTTGATTTTATTTATAAAAAAAAATAAAAGCAAGCAAAAACAAAAGCATATTACATTTGAGTATAGTTCTAGTTCTAGATATAATAAGTAAAAAAATTATATATTAACTAAATTACGGCTTTTTATTTCATACATGAATTTTCTTTAAGCTTCCAAGCACAAAACATCTCTTTGTTTAATGGCGTTAAGTATTGAAGAAATAAATTTTTTTTCGCTCAAAAAAATTTTTTCTTTGTTGCCTTCCCCCCGCCCCAAATGTCAAATTAGCAAAATGTTTTTGCAACTCATTTCTTTGGAACTATAAGGTTTATCAAATTTCTATAAAAGTATGTAACCGTCCATGTCTTTTTACAAGAACACATAACAAACATATTTCGTCCTTAAATTTTTAGACAATGGTTCAACTTTATTTTTGTCAACTTGAACTACGGTAAGTAATATGTATATATACAAAAATTTTAAAATAAACCGTGACTTCAATAATGCGCTTACAACGTAAACTTTACAAAGTATCATGTTCCAAAAAGTTGAGTAAAAGCTTTTGACATTATACAGTTTTCCTAAAAGCGTCCTATACCTAGTGGATACGTAAAATAAAAGTAAATCGAAGAAAACGAAGAACGCTTTTCTTATACATGTTGTATAAACGTTGTCAGAAATAACCAATTAAATAAACTAGCATATATTTTCAGCAATAAAGTGCTAGTTATTAAGTTTTTTTCCTAAAATGTAGCATAAGAATGCTATATTTTTGATGATGTGGTAACATTTGGCAAAAATTAACATTTACATAGAGCTTTAAATTGAAGTTTTCAAACAAACGTCAAACTATGTATTAATATTGTAAAAATTGTTTTCCAAAATGTATCAAAAGCTTTAGCAGTTTTTTTATAAAGTAAAGATATTGAAAGTTCTGAGAAGTTTGTACATCACGTATTAATACCGTACTTAAACTTTTTATAAAACATTATTGAAGTCACGGAAACTTATAAAAAACAGGTAAGGTTAGTCTTTCTTTCGATAAAAGTACGAGTGCGAAATTAAAAAATTGCAATTTAAAGTTGCAATTTTCTGATCTTGTTGGGGTATTCGATGACCAATTACGTTTAAGAACAAATATGGCAGTAAAATTAAATATTCGGAAATATGAAATTCATTTTACTCAAAATAGTAAATTTTTAGATAAGTGGCAATTGCATAAAACGGACGATATGCAAGAAAATTCGACGTTTTCAATTTCACTTTATTTATACATAAAATATATGTATGCATTGTTAATATTTATACACATAATTAATAAAAGAAATTTAATTTCTTTAGCTTTAACCAAAAAAAAAAAATGGGAAGTGCGTATTAGATTCACTCTGCTTTTCGGTTCGTCTTCTGTTAGCCTGTCCATGTGTCGCTTTAAGATACAAATAAATAAAATTTTTTAAATTCCGCGAAAGTAGAAATGTAACGACTGCGATTCCTTCAACCGCGAAATAGTATGAGTAAACGTTACAATGATAAAAAGGACATTGAAATCAATCGTTATCTAAATTCCGGTTTTTTCAATTTTTTGATATCGTTTTGATTTTTTTCTAGTCGGTAAGTTCTTGAAGTTTGAAATTTTAAGCATCTTTAAGATTTAAATATCATTAGAGAAAATTTTTTTTTCCACTTCTCTCGCCTTCCAAGTTATTGCTTGTCGCCTCTGGAAATTTGTAAAATTTAAATTTTCAATGTCTTATATTTTCGAAACGGGTAAGGCCATTCTATCAAAAAATATAATTATTTATATTATCTTACTTAGCCAACCATCGAAATCGAGTATTATAATGAATTGAGTAGATTGATTTTTTTTTAAACTATGGTTTCTTGCTCCAGCGAAAGTGCTTCTTTGCAAACCTTTGGTTCAATAAGAATGTATTTAAAATAATTAATTGTTTACATGAAACGAGAGAATTAACTAATTCAAATATATTTTTAGCATTTATATGTATATATAACTGCCAAAATTAATCCAAATAAAATATTTCAGTATATGTATGCATATGTATAACAGCACAAATATAGCTACCGAAATACATACATTTGAATATTAATTACATATACCTTTTAAAATAATAAATACAGTGGAATCTCTATATAACATATATTCATAGTTTGACAAGTCTTACTCGCTTACAATATACAAACTTCGTTCAGTAGAGGGTTCTTATATTAGAAACTGTCGATAAAAAACTATATAGAGAATATAATGTAGAGTTGCAAGAAACCAAAAATGCTGTAGAATGTAATGTATTAATGTAATAGGTAAACGAAGTATATAATATGCTAAAATAAATTACATGAGTAAGTTAACTTGCTCACCTAATTTATAAATTAAAAAATATTCTTTATTTAGGGAATTTTTCTTTTTTTAACAATTTCAAGTGCATTTTTAGCATATATAAAAAAGATATTAATTACATTAATAAATTAAATCTAGATTATGTCTATGTAATTAATAAAAACACTGCAAAATAATGAGAGTAGGTATGGACCATGTTAATTCCGAAATATACAACGACGAATGAATGGTTCTGCGAGTTGCGTGAAATATTTTACAGAAATTCATGCCACCAATATGCCAATAATTATTTCCAAATAGTTGGCACTTTAGATTGAATATTTTTATAAATTATATGGTATTATATTTGTTGAAGTAACGAAAATAATTGCCCTACCATTATATTTTCACATGTGAAAATTGTACCTTAAATAATTTTCAAAATATGGTAAAATAACTTTAGAAATTGCATGACAGCTACCATTTCATGGTCTAATTCAATCTCAACCTTTCAATAAGGTCTTAATTTTTTAGCACTTTTCCAAAAAATTTTTTGAAAAAAGTGCTTATTAGTTTCACTCTGTCCGTCCGTCCGTCCGTCCGTGGACACTTTTTTTGTTTACAAAACTTCTACACCCTTGAAGATAGAAAGCTGAAATTTTATATGTACATAGATCTTTACTAGAAACTTACTTCCGTAGAACAAAATTTTTACCTATCTCCCCCCCCTCTAGAAGTTATACCCCCCCAAAACCCTAAAAATGGCCTTTTTTAACTATTTGTTGCAATAAAACCATAAGCATTTTTGAAATTTTGCAAACGCAGAAAGGCAGCGGCTTGCTTTCCCTAGCGCGGTATACTACAGTTAAACTTTAGAAAAACAAAATGGCCGCTCAAATTTACCGTTATCTAAAGTCCTTTTTTTCCCAATTTTTGATGTCGTTTTTCTTCTAGATCCCAGCCTGTAGAAGTTTAAAATTTTAGAGACTTTTAGACATTAACAAATAGTTCATTTTTCAAAATTTTTTTCCATCTCCACCCCCTCTCAAGTTATCGCCCCTTGAAATTTGTAAAATTTGAATTTTTGACACCTTATATTTCCGAAGTCGCACGTTTTTTCAAATTTCTATAAACGCAAAAAGCTAACGGTAAATTCCATGACATTAAAAAATATAATTATTTTCCTTAACTCACACAATTAACCCTTAAAATCGAGCATTATGTTAACCCCTTTTTATATTAATTTTTGCTTTATTTCAAAGACTGCATAAATCGTTCATCCTAAAAATATGCAATCCTAGAAAGAGTTTTGTATATGAATGAAAATAATTTTAATAGTGTGATAGGTATACATAGACTGTATTTAAAAGCAGAATTTTCACTTGTTGAAGGGAAAAGTGCTACAATACAAACCATTGGTTTGATCCAACTTTATTTAATAAGATTATTTGCTCTGTTACAATTTTAAATCGGGTAGTCTAATTGGTTTCTTTAATATGATCAAAGTAGCCAAAATATATGCGGCTAACTTCATAAATTATTTTAAAATAATATGATGGTTCTATTAATATATCAGTATATGCAACGATGTGGTACAGATTTTTTAAAAGCAGTATATGTCCAAACAACTATTGAATTTGTATGCGTTGTAAGCGTTATCAAAATTTCATCCAAATTAAATAGGGTTCTGGCATTTATCATTGACGTATTAAACAAATTAAAAAAATTTGTTCGTTATATGTTGTTAAAATTTTTCTTTGTTATAACATGTAAAAAAAATTGGCTAGAAAAGGAAAATTTAATTTGTTTGCTATATAGAGAAGTTTGTTAAATAGAGATTTCTTATGAAAAGTTTTTGAAAATGTGGAGTCATTATGTGGAGATGCTGTTAAATAGAGATTCAACTGTATAGTATTTAAAAGTGATTTATTTTATAAAGTTTTAACTAGGTGCGCAATTGTTTTTTTTTTAATATAAACTTTGTTTAATCCATAAGAATTTTCATTTTAAGTTATCAACAGCAATAACAGTCAATTCAAAACTAATCGCTTCTTATGAAGCTTCCAAATATCGGCGTTTTAAAAATATTTTGATAAATATTTTCGGTGCGAGTTTGTACAAAATATAAAAAAAATAGGTTCAACTCTTCTTTTTTTAATTTTGATTCTTTAAACCAATATGGAAGGCATCAACTTTTATAATGATAAATTGGATTTGAATAAAATAGTAAACAGCGAGGAGTACAAGAATTCGGATGAATCACTGATGGTTTGCGATGTAACGGAAATATTAAAAAAATATAATCAATGGGTCCAATTTATACCAAGTGTAAAACCATTCTATGCTGTAAAGTGTAATGATAATATAATGGTATTAAAAGTTTTAAATTCACTTGGGGTTAATTTTGATTGTGCATCAAAAAATGAGATAGAGAAAGTTTTGAGTATTGATGTTGCACCTGAACGCATTATTTTTGCTCATCCAGCTAAATTATTGGGTCACATAAATTATGCTAAATTGAATGGTGTAAAAATAATGACATTTGATACAGATTTTGAATTGTTCAAAATTAAAGAACATTATCCAGACGCCGATCTTTTATTAAGAATTCGTTGTGAAGCAAAATTGGCATTATGGCCACTGGGTGCGAAATTTGGATGTGAACCAATAGTGATAGCACCAAAACTTTTAGAACTGGGGAAAAAATTAAATTTAAATATTAAAGGAATATCATTTCATGTTGGTTCCAATTGTTTGGATCATGAAGCATACAATGAAGCAATATACAGAGCACGTCAACTATTTGATATTGGAAAGGAATTGGGATTAACAAATATGGATTTACTAGATATTGGTGGTGGTTTTCCTGGTTCTAATGATAGTGGATTCAAACAAATTAGTGACGTAGTAAATATGGCATTAAATAAATATTTTTCTGATATAAATGTGCATTTCATTGCTGAGCCAGGACGTTTTTTTGTGACAACAGCATTTCAATTATTATGTAAAATACATTCAAAACGTGAAATCAGAATTAACAACAATATTGAAAAGATAATGTACTATATAAACGATGGATTTTATTGTTCATTAAATGTTGTTAAATATGACAAATACAAACCAATACCGAAAATTATTAAATATCAATCGAATACAAATTGTGTTATTGATGAAACTAATTTAGATAAGGAAATGTTGAAGGAAACGACAGCCACTACATTTGTAAAACTATATAAAAGTTGTATATGGGGTCCTACTCTTGATTCTTTGGATATTGTTTATGACGATATTAATTTACCATATTTATCTATTAATGACTCGTTAATATTTGATAATATGGGTGCATATTCAGTAATATCCCTTAGTGGGTTTAATGGTTTTATGCCGCCAAAATTCAAATATTATCTCAATCGTCAGTATAATGTTAAATATGTTACTGAAATAGAAGGTATGTGAATCACATTACCGCTGCATAAATAAAAAAAAAAATGTCTCACTAGTTTTGAGTACTTCTAATTCTAAATATAATAAGTAAAATAACTAAATTTCGGCTTTTTATTTCATGTTATACAAATTTTCTTTACACAAAGATAGAAGAAACAGTTTTACTACTTATTTTATTTTGGTGAACTTGCAGAACTTTTTGTAAATGTAAAACTTGACTTATTGAATTCTACTTTTTAACTTTTGTAAATACTGAAATTTTAACAGGTCCTAGACATTCATGGATAAATCATTTCGTTTCAGGAAGAAATAACCGACACATATTGCTTATTACGAATACAATGTGTAAGAATTTATGTTTATTATTAATTCTTAGAGGAATAACCAAAACATTTCCTCTTTAAATTACACTGAAAATACCTTGAGTTGGTTGTCACTTCTTATAATTTTGCTTTTATTAAAAAAGTGTGCAATAATTTAGTGCATTATCATCAAATTAAAAGAACAACGTATAAATATGTATACGAAAACTAAAACGTTTTTTTTTTAAAGGTGTTGGTAATGAGCTAGTCAACAAATTTCCGGCTTGATCCGATTTTACTTTGTCATTGATTTGGTTACAAATTTTTATTTCAGGAGATCGAATTAGAGCAGATTTTGAAGTCTTTTATATGCCGATCTGCATCCCCAATTGAATGATGAGATTACCTGTTACTAAATCATTCATCAAGTATTGTAAACATTTAGCGCTTATTTCATTAAAAGCTATTTGAAATAGAATTGAATAAAAACTATAAAAAATCTTAAGCAATAAAAAATATAATAATAACTTATTAATGCAAGTACCTGTATGTGTGTGTCACCAAATTTTCGTGTCATGATTTTCCATTGTTTACATTTAATAAATAGCTTAAATTAATTATACTTAAAAAATTTTTTGAAACTAATTAAGTGCCATATTGATCTTCGTCTACACAGGCTAAAAATGATTTTCAAGCTTAATTAGTTCTATGTATGAGTATTTATGTAAACATCATATTTATTTATGTATATACATACATATACATATACAATTACGAGTATCTTCGTTGGAAATTTTTTATTTAACTTTATTATGAAAAACTTTGTGTCGGTATTGAGATAAAAAAAAGCGCGATTAATTACAATCCAAAACTTGCAAGTTCTTTTCTTTTGATAAATGTTTTGTAGGCTTAAATATTTTTCATCTTAAAAAACAAAATGATTTAGTTTCCGTTGGCAGAAACAACGATCATTACGTATTTTATGGTTATGAAGCTTAACTTTAGGTACACTTTTCAAATTATTTATTCCAAAAATGACATTAAATTTTTAAACTTGATTTACTTGAAACTATTAAATCTAAATCTCGCGGTTTTACCTAATTATCTCGATTTAAAGAGTTTGGGTAATTGCATCTCAAATAGTTCATTTCGGTTTTAACTAAAACTATTCTAATATTTCTGACATAACAAAATAAAGTAATTTTACATTTTTAAATATTTTTATTATAAAATTTTTTTCATTGAAAAATACTGCAAATACAAAATATAAATTTAACGATAACAAAAAAAAATGATAACAATAATTCGATACAATGCTATTATGTAGATTCGTGAGTATGAAAAGGTAACTGATTATTAATTTCGATACCTTCGCCTTCGGCTATAAAGAGTTCTCAAAAATTGTCCTTGTTGTGAATTACCTGATAGCGTCTGTATTATTCCATTTACAGTTTGTGCAACACCTCCTACTATTTGACCAGGTGTCAGATTAGGTCCCTACAAATTGTGGTAATCGAAAAAAAATATTTTTTTGTTATTTCTTTATTTCTTTTTGTTAATCTTTATAGCATACCATATTAAGCGGTGGTTGTTGTTGTTGTGCGAATTGATTTTCATATACTGGTCTGTCATCGAAAACTGGATCATAAATATCAGGGTTTTGATTAATTGAACCGCTTCCACTGCTTAAACCACTATCAGTTGGTGAAATACTATTTCCTGGGTTGGATAATCCTGGCAAGGAATTTGATATTAAGCCACCGGATGAGATTGGTCTATATGGTCTTTGTGCGAATCCTGGCAATGTAAGTAAATAATTCTGTAATTGTCTCCTAATATTTGATGAAAAAAATGACCCACCACTATTACCAAGGTAGTTGCTTATTGATGAGCTAAAACTTCCACAATCATCATCATAGTATTGAGGTTGCGTTCCTGGTATTACATTATATAAATTTAAATCCCAAAAAAATCTTCCTTGTGCTTGTGCTGGTCCAGTTGATCGTGCATTTCTATAATAACATGGATTTGTTTGAGCCGCATACGATGGTCTTCTTCTTTTATTTCCCCCATGAGTACCATGATGGCCATGATGTCCATGCAAGCCATGTAAATGATGTAAATGATGATGATGTCCATGATGGTGGAAAGTTTTACCGGTTTCTGTAGGATCAATTTTAATCCGTTTTGAATTTACACCGTCTGGTAATTTATTTTCGTTTTCAGGCATACGATTATAAAATGAATTCGGTAGTGCATCTGCACGATTTATTAAGTTCGCTGTGGCATAATACTGTTGTTGTGTTAAAGGTCTTTGGGATTTCTTTTGTCGACGATATCGAGTAGCACCAAATTGTTGACCATCTCTGTCAAATGTTGACCGTTGTCCGGATACGTTTCCAATTTGACATAATACTATAGCAAATTGAAATGCTAATAAAAGTATGAAGAGCTTCATCTGAAATATTTTCAAATTCAAGAAATTTAGTCAAAATTTCGTGAACAATTAAACTATTAAAAAAATTGCAGAAGTTAGGTAATAAATCTGTTTCCATTTAAATCAATCTCAAGTTTAGAAAAGTTATAAAAATGTACATATGTAAGTACATATACCTATATTTTTAAATTTCTGACGTAAATGTTGTCACATAAACACATTTTCTTTTTGTCTTGATATTTAATTATTTTTTTGTATTTATTGTATTTTTAATTACTGTTTCTTAGCTATACTCTAATATCAATTGTTTCTTGGCATAAGTTCTTAATATAATTATCATATAAAGGATCGCATTACTTATTTTTACGGTATGAAATCTAACGTGTAGATTCTTCTGAGTTTATGGTTAGCCTTTTGAGATTATGGTTAAGACTCATATCGCTTTTTTAGAGTTTTCGAAAAATTATCTAGTTCATTCAAATTTCAAGGAACTTCATTAAAGTTTCAAATGTTGTAACTCAGTATCCCTTAAATGTTTGTCAATCAATACGTAACAATCAACATGTAACAATTTAAAGTTTTTTTTTTTCAAAATCAATTCGGTTGAAATTGTTATAAAGAAGCTCTTGTAACAAAGTGGGGAATTGCATATCTATTAAAATTTCAGTATGTAAAATTTCGTGTAAAAAGAATATTTTCCAAATTGTATAAATGCAATATGATCCTTAAAAATAAATGATTGAAACTAAATCATACAAATTGAGTGTGCAACGCAAATAATATTGCAACTGGGAGAAAATAAAAAGTAATCCGTAAAAAAATAAAAAGTGACCTAAGTCCATTTGCAATTTCAAAACTCTTTTGTTTCCAAACAATGATAATGTCTATGTTCTCGGATAGGTAAATAAATATTCTATAAAGTAAATAATCAAACAACCGAATTTTTGATTACTTTAAACCAAACCGGAGCAATATTTAATTTTTAATTGAAATGGACTCAAGTAATTTTTAAGATAAACCATCCAACTATATATTACAGAGTTTTTTTTTTATTTTAATATAAATACATTTTGATTTTGTTAATTAAAATTTTATAGAATTTAAATTTTCTAAAATTAAACCGAAATTATGTACGCCACTGAAATTATGTCAATTAAAGTCATTGTATATATATACATATACATATTTTTTACAAGTATTTAATATAAAGTACATAGTGTGCAATTTACGAGTACTACAATTGTGTCCTAAATGGTAAACCTTTTCATATTTTTTTAATTTTAGATTTTATCACTCACTTTTTAAAATAATTCTATAACATAAATTTGAAGGTACATCAATTTCGAATAATAATTGTATTTTTAATAATTTATAAGTATTATTTATGTTTTAAAAAAAAACAAATCATATTATTAAATGGGTTGATATTAATACAGATTTTTTTTTAGCACGTTCAGATTTGACGCGGATTTACCGCTTAAAATTTATAATTTTGATCCACTTTGTTGGTTTTATAAACTATAACTAACCTTAAAATCAAAAATATTTTAAACTTGTTACCTTTTTGTTTAGTATAAAATTTTTTTTTTGACTTTTTTAGTTGTTTTTCTTTTTATTTTATTTTTTTGTTAGACGTTTATTTTATGCGAAAATTATTTCAACATTCACGGTTAACAATAAATTCAAAAACCAAAAAAATTTAAAAAAGATTGGATAAAAAAATCACCAAAACACAATCAAAGAATTAATTTTGCAAAACTTTATGAAAAGTTTAAAAAACTAAATGTGCGCGGATGCTCAAATTAATCACACTGTATATGTATGTATGTAGTTTTATTTTGTCCGGCTTTATAAATTTTGTTTTTCAGCGAGACTTGCTGTTTATCATGAGAACGAAAGTTATGTAATGTTTATGCAATACTGATTATCTTTAACCTTTATAGGTTTTTTTTTTAAATATTTTTGATTGAGTTCTTCTTACCATAAATGTTATTATATTCCCCCTAAAAAAAAAACTAAAATGAAAATATCAAAAAAATTTATTAAATAAATTTTATATTGCAAAAATTGGGATTAGTTTTTGTTTTTTGCTTCTTTTTTCCAATAATTTTTATATTTTTATCAAAAAAGTCTTGTCAAGAACACATGTTTTTTCCGATAAAAAAAAATTTCATTAATTTTATAAACTAAAATCAATGTTAAAACTTTGAAAATTTCCAACTTTGGTGAAATTTTTGTCTACAAAAAGTAAAACAAAAAACGTAAAACGCACATACTTACTTATAAGTACTTAAAATATTTATTAAAATAATTTTTTATAATTTTTTTATTTATAAAACTGAAGCAAAATATTTATTTTGCATATAAACTTTCATGTGAATTAATAAAAAAAAAACTAGCCATATATGAAAATTTTTTCTTGGCTTTTGATGAATTTATGGCGATGACTATATGATTGATTTTATTAATGTATATATTGATGTTTTCTTGTTAATATTATTTGTATGTAATAGTATTTGTGTTTTTAATTAGAGGTCCACGAGATCCATTTCCTGATAGAATTTGTATAACATCATTAACACGATCCGCAACACCACCAACTAATTCACCAAATTGTCGAATTGGTATAACAGAAGAAGAGTTCTGTAATTGAAGGAAAACATATAGCACAAATATAAATGTCAAAAAAGTCTATGTTGTTTAACTTTAATTATATGTCTATAATTATTATTTATGTTCACTACAATCTTGACAGCATCATATTTTTTGCGATCTTTTGAGCTTATTGTGAATAAATTGAATCAATATTCTCATACAATTAATTAAAACTTTCAACAAAATTTTCTTGAAATCCCGGAAATTTCTTTAAAATTGGTTTAATTGGAAATTTCTTTAAGTTTTAGAATTTTTAATACAAAAAAAAGTTAAAGTCTTGTAGTTTTATATTGCCGTTATACTCTTTTAAAATAGCATTTAATTAATAGCTATTAGCAAGCGAATTTAGCAAATCTTGCCCGTTTCCTACAGTATTGAAGAGGAGTATTTTACTAGAACACGTGATAAATTTTTTTTTTTCACTTACTTCGTTTTCAGGTCCTTCTTCGTTGTCTTCAATTATTGGTTTAATATTATCGTTATATACAGGGATTACATTATCATTGTTATTATCATTAACAATATTATTAATTAAAGTACTTAAAAGTGGCTTTTGCTTTTTATTATTGTTAAATGAATGCCCTTCTCGATTTCCATTCAAATAGAAACCACTTAATCCAGCTAAACTAAGTCCATTGTTTAATGAAGAATATCCAAAATTTCCCAAATTATTGCAACCATTTAATAATACTGGAACTGGATATACAATAGGTTTTGCATATGATTGAGATTGTCCCGATGGATAAACATTATAAACATTTAAATCCCAAAAGAATCGTCCCTGTGGACTATCATCAAAATTATCTTGAATATTTCTAATTTGTGTTAAATATCGGCAAGGATCTGAATATGATTGTAATTGTTGTTGCTGTTGATGTTGTTGTTGAGATTGTAAATATTGTGATAGCAATTGAGATTGATTAAGTAGCGAAATTTTATTTTTATTTTTCTTTTTTTTCTTATGTTTATGATTTATTTTGGCCTCTCCTATATTATTGTTATTATAAATGGAAGGAGAATTGTAGGTTTTCCTCTGATTTAAATAATCATTGTTCATTGGCAGCCTGTTATAGTACGAGTTAGAATTTATAAGTGAATGTTGTCTTTCATTCAAATTATTCTGATAATTTGAAGAAGGGAATGAAATTTGTGAAATACTAATTTCTATGTTTAGTACGATTAATGTAATAACAATAAGGATAATTGTGAATTTCATTTTAAAAAAAAATCAAAATTATTTAACGGATAATTAATATTTTTTATTAAAAGCTTCTTAAATTATAAAATCGTTTCTTTAAAACGCGATATTAATATGATGTACCGTTATTGAGAGTTTACTTTCAAAGACTAAAGTAAAAAATTAGTTAAAATGCTTTTGTAAAATTATTTAATTTAAAAATGCAAGTGAAAATATGGTGGGTGTTGGTTTTGTAATAATGCAGTTGGATAAATTTCGTAATAAACAATCCAACAATTTATAAAAATTAATCAGGTGTTAGTAGATGATTGTAATGAAAAATTTATAAATATTGTGTGATGCACATGCCTTATTTTAGAAAATTGAAGCTAAACCAAAAAAAAAATTGTAAAAGTTTGCTGCTTTTTCATATACGTAGTAGCTCTTATAGAACTAAGTAATTAGTGAATTTACGAAAGCTTTATGCATCATATTGAAGAAACTTTTCTACTAGCTTTTAATGTAACTAAAAATAATTTTTTCAAATGTCTAATGAATTAAAAGGAACGCATTTTTACGAAAATATTGAAACTCTTCTTATAAAAAATTGACTTGTAAGATTTATTGTTACAAGATAATTAATTTTTTATCACTTAATTCATGAGGATAACTCACATTTTCGAAATAATGTTTTTAGTGTTGTCTTTTCTGGTTTCTTGATGATTTCATAGTATACCCATGATCTTAGAGCTCTAAATAATTACTCTTATTCGTATGTAAGAGTACGTTGTTTGAAACGACGCAAAAAGCCTAATTTAATATAAAATTTAATATAATCTTATAATTATAATATTTAATATAAAATTATAAAATTTTAATTTATTACAAAAATTTGAAAAGATGAAAATTTATAAGGGTTTGTAAAGGAAACCCTTGAAAAAAGATGAAAATTTATAAGGGAAAATTTGTACAAATTTTTGACAGATATTGTTGTTTTCATGGATAAAAAATATGCATGGAATTTTTTTTCTAGACTAAAATATACACCATTCTAAACCCCAGTGTATATTATAATTTAAATATTTGCTAAGGTATTTTTTTAGAAAGTTTTTTACTAATAAACATTTCTGGTAAGAAATCGCTAAACATTTATTTAAACTATACTAATAATATTGCAGTCATCTGTAAT